GGGGGGTGGGGGGGTCCCCCCCCCCCCCCCCCCCCCCCCCACCACTTTTTTCCTTTCGGCACATCCCTGCTTGCCGATTATGTAAAGCACGAACATTAACAAATGCAAGAACACCAAACGTAATACGAACAGTTAAAGGTAAAATACCAAGCAAAATAGGAAAAGGAAATCGAGAATAATAAATCGAATAGCCAATATTGGTAAATGAACAACTTGTTTGACCAGTGTCCAGTGGTGGATAAAGATCTTGAAACAGAATTACAGGAATTCCATGTAGAAAAGAGACTATAACAGCAATTATAATTAGACGACTAGCTAGTTGCAGATTACAGAGATGACACCAACGATTTGTTAATAATAAAAATTGGTCAATAGCTGCAAAACACATACCAGTAAAAATAATGAGCATAGTTGTAATCTATATAAATTGTGGGGCTTTACACATAGACGATAAAGTTTTAGTTGGATCAATATTATAGCCATTTATAAGTATACGAGTTAATAATCCGAAAACAAGTTGAAATATATTCACAGCTGATGTCACGGTCATATAGAAAGCGGTTGAAGTTTCTCGAAAAGCTTTTAGTGATGAAAATATAATTATATTCAATATACTACCAATGATACCAATTGAAAATACAAAGAAACCACCGTAAATATTACACTCATTGGTAGCTAATTTGAATGATTCAACAGCTATTGATGCCATATCTAGAAAATAAACTACTAACGTGCATATGAATATTATTGTGTTTTTTTCTAAATTTAATAATAATGAGACATGAAGAGGCGAGTATCCAGTTTTTGATAATTAACTTTCTACACCTAAATGGTTGTTTCAACTGTCTAAGCTTCCTTGTATACGCACGATTCAAACGGTAGCCTTGTATTAGTAAACTGAACCCGGCTTTGATAATGCCGTGTATTTTACGTTGTTATATATTCGAAAGCATTCCAGATTAGAAAATCGAAATGTAATGTATTTATATTGTGCCGGTTAGTTTCAAAGTTAATTATTGAAGTTACTCGAAACTTTTAATATGCAAAGTTCAATTAGAATGACGTGTAATTATAATACATTACAGAATAGAAACTATTTGAAGAAAACAAACTTGACTTACTCGTCAATAACTCTGAAGAGAATTTGTTCTCTATGATGATACATTAAATACACTGTCACTAACAGGTTTTGTTTCTAATGAGAAAATCATTAGATCAAAGCCAACCGAGTCCGGAGTGAAGAGTAACGTTCATCAGATAAGTTTCGAGTGACTCCACACCGTTCTGAAATTTTCAGATTCAAATCCGGCAGACTCTACTAGAGAGAACGAAGTACTCAATAGATGTAATGGTTTTCGATTGAATGCCTTTTGTCGTTGTCGGTAAACACTAAAGCAAAACATCTTTTAGTCTAAATGCTGATCAGGGACTTATGATTATACATATAGATATATTGTAGATTGCAGAAAATAACAACTTGTCACTTCAAGGTGTATATGGGAATTGATGCAATCAATATTTCCTTAGTTTTTTTAATAAGATTTTCATCTGCAGCTATATTCCAATTTTTAATTTAATATTTCACCGGATTATGTCATCGAAGGTAAAAGTTTCCTTGTAAAATGATGGTATTGCCATATATTATTTGAGAAATTATTAGAGGCGCAAGGAGCTCGATCGTTTATTGATGTACTTTTAATATTTTCAAGTTCAGTATCTTTCTTTTTTATAACTTTAAAAAAATGACGGAGTATTAGCGCAAACCAACGCCAAAATAGCAGTGCTCGTGGCGCTAAAACCAATGTGGCCCATAGAAAACGTGTTTGAAGACGGAGGCATTGATTCAGTTTATTAATGCATGCATATAGGTAGTTTAATATGGAAGGATACTTCCTTTCTTTTAATTTATTTGTCTACGTTGAAGACAACGAAGAGGTAAACATGCTAGTGAGCATTAGTGTTCTGAAGGCTACTTTCACATAATGATTACGTCTACTTAGTCGCATTCGAGTTATAGATTATTATTAGTAATACAATTTTCATAAATAATCAGAAGGAATGACTTCAACAGCAGCGACTACAGTACGAGCTACTCGTAAGGGTGGTGAAAGAAAATCGAAATCGGCTCGTGCAGGTAGATTAAACTACAAATAAATACACGTGTGCCATAAATTATTTATACTTTGAAAGGTGTACTATTTTCCGTACCACGTTTTCATCGTTATATTAAAAAATCAACACCAAAAAGCCGTGTAACCATGGCTGCTGCGGTTTATACAGCTGCTGTAGTATGTAAAATCTTACAGGAAAATTCCTACGGTTTGATTCAAATATATTTCTATAATATTAGATCGAATATTTAACAGCTGAAGTTCTTGAACTGTCGGGTAATGCAGCTAAAGATCATAAAAAACAACGTATCAATGCAAGACATATCTTTTTGGCTGTTAGTATCGATGAAGAACTTAAAAAAGTAGAAATTTCTTTGTTTTCATTAAAATATCAATACGGAATATGTTGTTTCTACTAGCTCCTTCATGGTGTCACTATTCCGCAAGGTAACGTAAACATATCGACAATAGAAATCAAATTTTCTTTATTTAATTAGGTGGTGTATTGCCACATATAAATGCATTCTTATTCAACAGTAAATCAAACAGTACTGATCAAAGTCAACCAACACAAAATGCAAGTTTTTAGAGAGATCAGAGTATTTATAAATCTAATGCTACTTTTAATCACAGACGTCGCGTTCGAGCACTGCAGCAGTGGCTAAAGTGCCTTCAGCTCTAACAAAAGCAAGCTCATCCTCGGCAATAAATTTAAAGAAAACAACATCCACCACTGCTGGAAATACAGCTGGTTCAGCCTGAAGTCGTAAATCATCTGAAGGCAATATTTTTCATAATATTACAAGAGAAAATCTAAAAGCACTCACTTTCGTTGTATGCCTTTTCTTTCTATTGTCTTTCGTTATCAATAGATCTATTTTATTTTATTCAAGTTAAAATTATATCTACGGGTGTGCTTTATATCTTATTTTATTCGCGTGAATTAATATTGTAATGTGTATCAACATATATTTTATGATTAAAATAAAATATTGAAAAATACACAAAAAAGCACTCAGCATGACAACGATTAAGTGATGTTTAGTCAAGAGAAAATGTAGTATCGACTGCAAAGTTTCATCGATTCGGACTTCAAAACTTCTGAAATACTTTTGTTTTGATGTGCTCATAAGATGAGGATAGTCTTTTTTTTTTTTATATCACTGTAATCAATTTTATTTTGATCGGTGTTTCTAAAAAGTTCCTGAAAATTAGCACTCGCTGATAAAATATGAACGCTACAAAAAAAACAAATTTTAGAAATATTAAAAAAACATAACTTAAACTTGATGATTATTTCTTGTGCTACACACGCGCTTAAAATTCTATGCTTTAGAACTCATGCAATTAGCCATGGCGAATATCAATAATACCGCAATCAATTAATTTATGAATTTTATGTGCGATAGCTGGATTTCGTAAATGATGATGTAGTGCTTGTGGTTCGTTTTCCATTTGTTGAAGAATTAAACCCATGCTAGGATCATTGAGAATTGCTTGAATTTCAGGATCTGTTGTTGCACGTTTAAAAACTTCTTCAGGATCATTATTACTGGGTCTAATTGAACATTGTTGAAAACCGTCAATAGCATCCTAAAACAATAAAACCATTTGTTTTTGTGTTCATTTAAAAAAATGTCTTGATTATTTACTGGACAATTAGGATCAATTTCAAGAGCTTTACCAAATGCTGACATAGCCTGAGAAAAATCTTTCGTTGCCATTAAAGCGTGTCCCTTACGAAGGTGACATTTAACTATAAAATCAAATCGTTTATATGAATTGACGTTTTTCCCTCTCAAACTTACGAAGCGTTGGATCAAGTGCTAGTCCTTCGTCGCAATCTTTTAAAGCTAATTGAAATTCCATTAATTTCATAAAACAAGCTGCTCGATTTGAATAAACTTTTGCATCCGATGGATTTCGTTTAATAGCTTCACTATAAGCAAAACAAAAAAAAAGAATTATTTGGAAAAAAAATCTATTTTCAATAATATTACGTATAATGTTTCAGTGCATTGGGATAATCAGCTTTTTGAAAAAATTCGTTTCCTTTTGTTTTTTCTTGGGCAGCTAATTCCGGATTGATGTACGCTACGCGTTCTTGCTCTTTAAGAATTTTTTCAATCTCTTGTTTTTTCTTTAATATATCAGGATTTCGAAATTCCGAAAGTGAACGATTATAATATTTAATAGAATCGTGATAGTTATTTTCTTGTACTTTCACATTTCCCATACGAGCATAAGCTCTATTCAAATAAATAGCATAGGAGAAAAAAAAATGTTTTATTTTATTCTTACTTAGCAATCAATTTGTAGTCAGCTTGATTCTCACGTCCTATATCAATAGCTTTTTCGCATTCATGTATACAATCATCCCATCGTTTTTGTTCGAAATAAACAGCTAAAATTAATTTACAGAAAAAAAAATAAGAATACAAATAAAACTTCAATTCTAACCAGCTCTATTGGTGTAAAAGGTCATATTGTTTGGATCAAATTCTGTTGCTTTATTATAATGATTCAATGCTGTTTCGAAATCTTTCTTCTTGTATGCTTCATTACCCTTCTCCTTTTCTTCTTCAGCCTAAGATTATACGAGTGGAATTGAAAAAAAGAAATTTGAAAACACATCTATTACTTGATTTTGTGCTGGTGTTTTATTTGCATTGTTTGAAGATTTCAAAGGATTTGTTTCTTTCTTTTTATGAGTTTTCTTTTTGATCTGAACTTCATTTTCAGTACTGCTACCGTTAATTCCAAGTACAGTTCCAATTAATTTTATTAATTTTACATTCGTCAAAAGTCTAAGCAAACGAAAAAATAAATATTATTTTATACAAAATAACATACGACGTATTTTCTGGATTTTCTTGCATCATTTTGACAAGTTTAGCTGTTTCAGGATCTTTTAAAAGTTCTTTCGCTTTTGGATTTGACATAAGCTGATTGATAAATAATGGATCAGCAAAGAAACTGAACCCATTAGGTGGAGCCTCAGCTGCAGATTTACGTGTTGCTTCGAGTTCCGTTAGTATTTGTTGATTGTTAGGATCGATTGCAAGACCTGCTTCGTAAACTTTGATTGCGTCATCATATCGTTTTAGAAATGCTAATACACTCGCTTTTCGTGTATATCCCTTAAAAAGAAGACTTTATGTTATTTTAAATAATCTTCTGGTTTTACTTTAATGAAATCCGGTTTTATTTTAATACATTGTTCAGCGTCTTTTATCGCGTTTTCATAGTTTTCTAATTTAGCATAAGCAGCCGAACGGTTACTATAGAGTATATGATTGTTTTCATCGATTGCTAAAGCTCGAGTATATAAATCGATAGCTTCGTCAATTTCACCACTTGAATAAGCGGTATTTCCTTTTGATATTAATTCTTTAGTCTGAAAATGTAGAAATAAGATAGATTTAGAAAGGCTAAAGTGTTACCTGAGATGTCATGAATGCAAATAATGAGGATAATCCTAAGACTGAATAAATCTATAATTAACATGTATGAACAATGTTGAGATAAATTAACAAAATTGTTAACGAAAGTTACGGGAAAAAAATCTTTAGTTTCTTTTGTTAAACAAGATATTGGTTTAATAATACTTTCCTCTCTACTGCAGAGATTCCTTGAAAATCATCTACCCCAAAAGAAAAAAGATTCTTCGAGAAGGTCGTCCTCCCGCTGCCATATCTCATCCATTCAACGCATCCTTTATCGCCAAGAAGAAATCATCTTCAGGAAAAGTAATTCTATGATATTCTAGTACGTCATCTAGCGATATCAGACGCTTGGGAAAATGCCAATCAATCGTTGTTGCTGAATCCTTAATCATGAGCGCCATCTCGTTCATCAAAGAAGAATAGTGTTACATAGTGAAAATCATATTTGTCTATTTATTTTATGCAAAAAAGTTCTTCAGTCCAAACAAAACTTCAAAACAGCGAAAAAATCAAAGGAGCTTAAATAAAAATGCAAGATGTCGTTTAATTAATTAAATATTTTTATCTGCATAATTTATGTTCATGAAAAATACATCTCACTGATTTATTTCATATTCTTCAAATATCAGATTGTATAGACGAGTTGCATTACAAGTGTATTACTCAATCTATCTAGAATTCTGTATTGATTTAGAGATTGTTCCGCATGCCACCGTAGATTGTCCCGGAAGTCTTTTGCTTATATTTCCCTGACTGATTGTTAGCGACAATGTATTAATCGTTTAGCGGCTCGAAGAAGATTAGGCACGTTTACAAATTTATTCATGACAACAAATACGCAAATGGCAACAATCTACCAGCGAGTATTTTGAAAAGAAAAATGACGATATTGCAGAATTAGCCTACACAAAGAAACAACAAAAACCAAAAGCTAGTTCGACGTTCATGAACCGTTATACCAATATTTTGGAGTGAATATTGTACTGCTTGTTAAATTTATCAGAATGCCAACCGCAGAAGATCTTGTTGAACAATTACAAATACAAAAATTGATCTATGCTGTGCGGACAGAAAATATTTTACTAGTACAAAAATTATGTGGCAAAGGCGTTAAAAACCTCGTAAATTATAATGATCCACGAACTGGAATGACCCCGTTGATGTAAAGTGATAGAATGAACGTTTTTGTTTTTTGTAGTTTTCATAGTTCTTTGTTTAGAGCGGCTGTCACACAAAGCAATACAGAAATGGTACAATGTCTACTAGAACTTAATGCAAATCCCGATGCTATTGATTTTTCTGGCCGTACACCACTTATGCATGCCGCTGAATCCGGTCAAGTCACTGCTTTAGAATTACTGCGTGAAGCAGACGCTAATCCGACAATTCAAGATTTTGAAGGAAGAGGTAAAAAAACATGAACCATCTGCTTCATACCGAAAAATAGTCTAGAATTTCAGTGATTCAATTCACATTAGATAAGTTCAAACGAAAATTAGAGATACATCTCTTCTATGACAAAAGTGAAGAAAAGTAATATTCGCAGTTGGAAATCCAGCCGTATATTCTTTCTTTTCAGATGCAATTTACTATGCTTGTACGGAAACAAAAAAAGGTCATAAAGAATTCTTTAAATTGTTACTCGACATGGGTGCTAATGTGAATAATCAAGACAAAAATGGTGTACCCACTTTGGTACATGTATGTGAAGAATCCGACGAAAACGAAGATTTCTGTATGGAGCTTATTCGAAGAGGAGCTGACGTGCGGCTCGCCGATGGAGTAAAGCAAATCAACGCTCACGTTTTAGTGAAATACTTTCTTTTATTTGCAATAGAAAACGCAACGCACAGCATTACATAATGCTTGTTATTCTGGAAGTGTTAAAATTGTACGAGAACTTTTACGTGCAAAAGCAGATCCTGACGCATTGGATCAAAAGAAATCAACACCTGCACACGAAGCTGCTAAAGGTGGAAATTTAAAGGTCATTCGATGTCTCTCAATAATTCTTTTTAACATTCATTGGCTTTTGTTTTCTTAGGTAATTATAGTTCTGTCTAGTGTAGGCACAAGATTTGATGTCTATGATTATCTTGGTAATAACCCAATACATTATGCTGCTATGGCTGATGCTGGCTCTGCGCTTCGATTTCTTGGTCAACGAGGTTTTATGATAAGCCGAATTTTTCTTGCTTGCATTAATTTTCGTATTCGCAGGTTGTAATCCGAAGGTGAAGAATAACGATGGGCGTCTTCCACGGCAAATTGCTGTTCGATATAGAAATAGAGATGCACTTAAAAATATCCGAAAAGCTGAACAAGGTTATCATGAAATGACTTCGAACTTGCCTACAGGTAACTCTACATGTTGACCTTGTTTTTGTCGATTTACATTCATATTTAGACGATTATCGTGATTGGAGATTAATGCTTTATGATTATATTTATGAACATCAAAGTCGTATAGAAAAATTATTTCAAGAATTAGACACGAGAAGTCCCAAAATGGGTTTTATGCAAAAGCAAAATTTTAAAATGATTCTTGAAAGTGAAAGCCATCTTTCATTTCTTCAACCGTACAATTTTAAAGATCTTCTTGAAAAACATGATATAAGTCGAGAAGAATTAGATTATAGAGCATTTTTAACGGGAGCAAAATATTTAACAAAATCCTATTTAATTACTTCGTTTATTCGTAAGAAGAAAAAACCAACAACGTGATGCCCTACGAATGAACTGAATATTTTGTTACGACGCACTGATATGTTTGATTTGTTATTCAAGATGAAAATCTGAGTAAAGCAATGACAATTCACAACATAAACGAAAAAACACTTCTATCTGTTATTATTATTTTTTTTTTCTCGCTTATTCTCTAATAATTTAGCATAGACATTTTCATGCTAAAGTCAATGCCAGCGATACAAAATTTATCACAAAGAGAACTATATATTCTCTATTTCGAGCTGTTCTGTATTAAATTCGATTCTCAATGAATCCCGAAATGCTTATGTTACACATGCTGATATTGAAATTCGGATTAAAATCTTCAATTTATCAATAATAATAGCTATCGCACTATGTATAGATAGCATAGGAAACTCATGTTTTTCTGTTTGTAAATATTTTATTAATAAAAATGCAGACATCACAAAGACAAGGGGCTTTTACTCAATAAATAGAGAAATATATGAATTTTTATTGTTTGCTCTATAATCATTTTTCATGTAGATTCTTTTAGGCGCGTTTACTTCTTATTAAACCTTGTCATGGTCATTGCACATACTTCTGTTGAGTTAGCACAAATTAAAAAACTCTTGTATGCTGTACGAACGTCAAATTATGATGAAATACGACGAATTTGCGAGAAAGGCATCGATGACATTGTTAATTACAATAATCCGATGGATGGTAATCGAATAAAATGTTGAGGATTTTCTTAAAAGTGTGTGTGTGCGTGTGTTTTAATGTTCATCATAGGTGAAACACCGTTGTTAGTTGCTGTGAAGAAAAATGATGAGATTATGATGCAGTTTCTTCTTGATCTTGGTGCACATCCAGATGTAACTGATTTCAAGGTGTGAACGGTGCGCGCAAAAAGTTGACACTTTCATTATTGACGAATATTCGGTTGTCTTCTATTTTTGTTGTTGATAATAGTATTTCTAATAGGAATTATGTGAAAGCTCGCTTTGTTTTTAAAAGGGTCAAACGCCTTTAATACGCGCTGCTGGACGTGGCTTTGTCGAAGCTGTACAAACATTACTCAATGCACATGCTAAAACCGATATGCGGGATCTCAATGGAAATGGTATTGATATTCAGGATTCTTCATGAAATAACTCAAAATTGTGTCTTTCATATAGATATTCTCTTTGCTTGCCTATCTGATGGTACACTTCGGCAACAAGAATGTTTTTTTCTTATGATGTCGAAACGAACACTTGATGTGAATCGAACGACGACGATGGGAAAACCTTTACTGGTAGCTGCCTGTGAAAAGGGAGCAACTACAGAAAAAATGTGTTTGATGTTACTTGACCGAGTTGTTGATGTAAATGCCATTGATAAAGTAATAAAAAAAATTCATATGAACTACCATGAGATGATTTCAGTATTCTTAGGAAACAGGCAAAACTGCATTACATGCTGCTTGTGCTTCTGGCTCAGTCAGATTAGTACGTGCACTTTTACAACGAAATGCGAATGTAAACGCACGAGATGCTCAACAACAGACACCCGTTCATGTTGCTATATTGTCCAAAGTATTCGAGGTAGATGATCTTCATGGGGAGTGTGATTCGTATTTTTTAATGAAAATTTTAAGCTTCTACCAATTCTTTCGGCTTACAACGCTCGTTTTGATCTTACTGATCAATCATTAAATACACCGGTTCATCTAGCTGCTAGACTCAATCAAGGTAAATCAATTAAATTTATGATTCAACGTGGCGGTACAATGAAAACTAAAAATGCTGATAATCAATTACCGATTAAAATTGCAAAAACATTTAAAAATAAAAATGCTATAAAAAATATTCGTTTAGCTGAAATGAAACACTATAGTCGAAAAGTCATCTCGCCTAAATCCAATCCAGATCGTGATTACAAAATTCATTTATATGATTGGCTACAAGAAAAATACGATCGACTTTTACGTCGATTTCATCAAGTAGAAAACAGTAGTACTCATCGAATAACATCGAATGATTTAAGACAAATTATTCATGAAGAAGGTTTCAGTCAAATAACATCTGATGATTTGCATGATCTTATTGTTCGACACGAAACCAATCCAAACGAAATTGATTATCAAATGTTTCTATCTGGAAAATTATTTATTGACAAAGCATTTCTTTTGTCAGCATTTATTCAAAAAACAAATAAAAAGAAAAAAACAAGGACAACGAAAAAACAACCAGCCATACCAATAGCAATACGTAATGAAGGACCTCGAACAGTCCATGGTAATCCACCTTTAGTATACATAAAAAAACATCAGTTTACTACTGACCAAACTCGATTCACTCGTGATCAAACTCCAAAACATGCTATCAATGATGATTCAGCATATTATTTAGACAAGCCGGATCCTCAATTTATACATATTAACAATGCCGGTAGGCAATCGTTTATCTTTCATATTGATTATAGTTTTTTTTTTTTTCATCTTAAATAGTGTATCGAGGTGATCTACATACACTAATCGATGCTTTCAAATCAGGTCGTACAAAAATTTCTAAATGTTAATAATTATTGTTTTAATTTTAGGCGTACCTGTAGATATTCGAGACAAGTTTTACAAAACGCCATTGATGATTGCAGCTGCTAATGGTGATTTAGAAACAACGAAATTTCTTCTTCAATGCGGGTGAGAAATAATGTTCTTGAGCACAGTTACATACAGAATGTTTTTACCAAAACTAGTATATAAATCATAGAAATATTTCTATACACATGTCTAGTGCAAATGTACATCTTGAAGATCATTTTAAATGGACACCACTTCATCATGCTGCTAATTCAGGTCAATTAGGGGTTGTTCGTGCTCTTGTCGATGCCGGTGCCAAGATCAATCATGAGTCATTAACACTAGCAACGCCACTGAGTCGTGCTATTGAAAATTCGTCACTTGATATAGTAAATTATTTTATTCAGAAGAAGGCGAATGTTCGCCAGGAAAACATCACACGTACGTATATTAATCTCATACGAACTTAAATAAATGACGATCTATTTTTACATAGAACATAATTTACTCGATTTGGCTGCTGATTTTGCTTCACCACAAGTTTTTAATACTATTCGAACGATCTATGAACAAAAAGGAAGTAAAAAAGATAATAAAAAACCGAAACCTCGTTCAGCGTCTAGTAGAAACAGAAAGAAAAACAAGAATATTGAAACAGTACGTCGGCTATTTGACTGAAATTGTACTATTTATTTTTATATTCATCTTTAGCTAACTCCTGTTATTAAGCCAATCAAGCTCGAAGTACCATTACCACGACGGGGTTCATTGCTTGTTGCTGAAGAAAAATTAAGCTCATCGAGTGATACCTATGAATCCATTACATATCATCCATTGATGAAATGGACGGATCAACCAACTACTCAAGAACTACTCGATAAGAAGATCAACTTAAGGAATCAATTTACAATGAACATTGATTTTCCTGATTACAAACAACCATTATTAGTCAATGCTCAAGCTAAATTAGAACGTTTAGAGACACTTGGTCGACGTTCAACAGAATCCTAAAACCTTATCTAGTTTTTCGAAGAAGAAAATAATAATAAAATGAGTAGTTCCCTGCTAGTATTCCTATCACTGTTGACATTCAAAAAGAATATCCTATTTTTAGAAGTTTTCTTTTTCTTTGTTTCTCTCGTGACATGTATGATTTTGTTGATCAATAAATAATTCATATGAAATATTTCTTTCAACAGAATCGGAACAAAACGTGCAGACTCTTGTTTTCCACATTCTTGATAAACGAAATAATCTACGTAGAATATATATATGCAAATTCATTTATTGGCGACATCTATGCGAAAACAACATTCGTTGGTTGGTCTTTTCTCAGTTCAATAAAAAAATGCACGTAATAAACGAAACAAAGAGGGTGTTTTTTTAATGAATTCTATCTTTTATTGTTCTCCATAAATATTTTTTTGAATATATTATTTCATTTTATTTATTCATATTAGATAATAAACAATCATTAATTATCTGTCAAAAACGTCATGTCTTTCCGGTGTTCACCAATACTAAACCCGAATGCTTCATCAATCAAAACAAATTCCAATTCTATTTCATTGTCTTCACAAATCCGTCTTGAACTTAGTAAAATTCTTCTTCAGCACGATCCGAATGCCATACGTTTATATGATTTTATAAATCATGTTAAAATCTCTTATTACAATGCTAATGAATGCCGCTGGGAAAATCATTTATCTATGGAAGGAAATTTATTTATTTATGAAAAAAAATTTGTCATAGATAATCAAGCATATTCATCGTATGCATTTGCTATTATTAATGGAAAACAGCAGTTTATACAACAGATAAATTTGAAAATGTCACAGTATGCTGATAAACAAAGTTTATTTTATGAAGTTGTGATAAATAATAAATGTGAAGTATATTGTTTGCATTTTGTGAATGAAAACGAATGTCAACGATTGAATACATTTATTTCGCAAGCTATTGAATCTATGCGAAACATTGAACAGCAACGATCTCAGGTTGTCGCCACCAATGGCATTTCTTCTGCAGAAGCAAAAAGGCAACATGCGTTGACTAATATTTCTTCGCAACAAACATCGACTGAAGTAACACTATCAGTATCTGTTATTTACATGTAAATAGTTTGTTTTTCTCAGGTTAGATCTTCGAGACAAACCTTAACTCCAATAGTAAATAGTAACAGTAGTAGTCAAGATCAGACATCATCACTTAAGCGTTTGTTAAACATCCAACATCAGAATGATTCAGAAGAAAAGAATCCTATAAATCTTCTTCCACCGTCTTCATTTCAATTAAAATCATCTGCTGATACTCCGAATCATTTAATGCCATTAAATCGTTCGCAATTCCGTGATGTTCTTCTTGATCTTGTCCAGAATAATGATCATTTTCTTGATATTATTCATCAAGCCGTCCTGAATTATTCCATGCAATGAAAAGAATGTGCTTTTTTAAATTTTAATAAAGAATCATTTTTTTTTATTATAAATTAAATATAAAAAACAAAAGAAAACGATTTTTCGATTATTCTAGATGTCGTCTCCGGCGAAAACTACGCGTGTATCAACACTGGCAGCTGTTCCGCTATTGCCAAGCACTTCAGCTAATGATCTTCAAGATGATTTTGAAGCATTTCGATTGCGTACCGTAATACGTGATTTTAAATTAATGGCTGAATTATTTGCATCAAACGGTGACATTGTATTAATATGTGGAAGAAACAATCAAGAAAAGCAAGGCATGCTATTAGTATCATACAAAATTCCATCACAAACAGCATCATTAACAGTATCTATACAACTGCTTAAAGTAATTAAATTAGCAAAAAAGAGTGTCACACAACTTGAAACAATACCAATATTAAAAGTCGCCTTATTGTTAGGCGATGGAGTGATTAGTTTGTTAGATGTTAATACACTTGCTGAAATTGCTACTGTAGTAGTTAATAATTGCACTTTATTTTCAACTTGGTAAGTGATTTCACAGATGAGCACTGCACCTTGAAGGAAATTTATTGAGAAGTATCAGAATTTGAGATAGGTCTTAACAAAATTGGTTTATTTTTTCACAAGAGGCTGTATTGATCATTATGTATAGTGAAGAAATATATATATATATAAAGAGCTACTATTCTTTTAGGTATGATATTGAATCAAGTACATCTTCACCAAACGCTACTAAAGCAATTCCAACTGAACTTCGACTATGTGCAGTACGACGTCGTTTACTTTCTTTCTATCGTTGGACTCCTCCACAACGAAAACTAGAAGAAAATATTGATCTACGTGGTGGTTTCGATCTAATGGATACTCCACGTGCGCTGGCATTATCTCGTGAAAAAATCTGTATCGGTTACAGACGATCCTATGTTATTATGAGTCTTACAACTGGTATGATGGTTCATGAATTACCATTTGCCATGGTAAATGAACCAGTTATCAATTGTCTTCAAGATCGTACGCAATGGTGTATACAAATGGATTCAAATACTGTATTTTTAAATGCAAATTTTGAACCACTGTATGAAAATGGTATTACATGGAAAGATATACCATCGGCTATTGTTCAAGCAAGTCCATATGTTTTATCATTGATGAGTCAAACAATTGATGTTTGTACATTTAATGGTTCACAATCAGTACCTGTTCAACAAATTCAACATAAAGGTCCAACAACAATAGGAAAATGTCGTTTATGGATGGACGCTCAAACTGAAAGAATTTACGCTGCAACAACAACAGATGTCTACGTACTTGAGCCTATATCTGTTCATATACAATTGAGGAATTATACTGGCAAAAATAGATATGATTTAGCTTTAATTCTTATTCGAGCTGTACTTGGCATGTCTGTATCATCATCCATGCATGATCAATCTAGAAAACCAGATGGTCATGCAAAAGGAAAAATTGATTTATCTGTTCTACCTATACAAGTCGTATATGCAAATAATGAACAGTCATCATCTAAAGTAAGCAAGATATTCAAGAGGACTGAACAAATGATCCATGATTTAATTGACATATTCTATATTTAATAGAGTAGAATTCGTATTGATAGTTTTTGTTTTGTTTTGTTTTAGTCAACATCAATAGCTCGTCAAAATTCTGCAATATTTGATTCGACTCGTTCTGATGAAAAACTAAGTGAAACTGAACTTTGGAGTGAATATTATCGTGTTGGCACAATGTATGCATTTCAATTATTTCATAAACAACAATTTGAACAGGCTTTTGCTGAGTTTAATGAATTTTTAACTGATCCAGCTGAAATTATATCTCTATTTGCGCCAGTATCAGAACATGGCTGGTTAGGACAATCGTACAATGACCTGAAAGCATTTGTTCATCAGCATCAACATTTCTCTGAACCAAATGATTTTGTTGGTGTTAAATTTGAAAATGCTTTGCATGAATTACAACGTTATTTAACTGATCTTCGTCGAGTTTTCCAAACAGTTTTTCGACGTTCACCCGACAGTTGTCTTGAAGTAAGATCAACAAACGAAATCTTATTTCTGCAGATTTCAATATGGTTCATTTAGGTTCAATCACTTGTTCAAAATCGATTTATCTTAAAACCCGTACGTGATTTATTAACAATTGTTGAAACTGCTCTACTTAAAGCCTATTTAATGGACAATAATATGACATTATCAAATGCGCTTTTACGTAATCAAGATAATTGCTGTTTAGTAGTGGAAATTGAAAGAGAACTAAAACGATATCATCGTCGTTCAGAATTAGTTGCATTCTATGAAAAACAAAATCGGCATAAAGAAGCGTTAGAATTAATTATGCGTACAGAATCATTATCATCACGTGAAAATGTTCTGAATTATTTATCTAAATTAGATAACGATAATTTAAAATTAATCTTTGAATACATGGAACCAATGTTAACATCAGCGTTGCACGAAAAAAATAATCGTGATATACTTCAAGATATATTGACATTGTTTGTTGGCGAAACATCACCAACATCACCATTAGCAACAATGGATATTTATCCACGAACAATTAAACTTGATCCAATTCAAGTTTATGAATTTTTACAAAAGATTAATCAAGATTTTTCTATAAGATATTTGGAAATGATCTGTTTAAAACCAGAACTAGGTACAAAACAACGAGATATTCATAACCGTTTGGTCTATGCTTATTGTGCTCGTATTAAACAATTGTCTGATCAATTTAAACCGATGATAGTCAAAAGTCTACAAGAAAGTTATGAAGGTATGCCGTTTTTTTGCTATCATCAATTATGACGCTGATGATATTATTAAGAATTTGTTTTTGTATAGACAATGATTTGCGTGCAACTCAACCATCATCTATTAACGTTGAAAATTATTCATTAATGTCTCCAATAAAAAACCAAAAAAATGAATATGAATCAAAATTAAAATTCTTTTTACATAATGAAAATTGCCAATGTGATTTCGATAAATTAGAAGCCTATTTTGTTCAAGACCAAAATGATCCATCTAATGAGAATTTATTTAGTTTACATTATGCGATTGTACTTGGTAAGCTGGGCCGACATGAATTAGCACTGGAGACATTTGTTAAAAATGGATTTTTCACCGATGCCGAAAGTTATTGTGAAACTATTTATTCGAACGGACAAATTCAATTAGCACAAGATCTCTATCGTCGTTTAATTGAATTTTTCTTAAAGCAAAGTAAAGATGGAAATCTAAATGATAATAGTTTAAAATCAATTTTACGTGTTGTTAACAATGCATCGGATCGTCTTGATCCAGTTCAAACACTTGAAATTTTGCCAACACAATTAAAATTAAATAATTTAAAAGATTTTATTGAACACTCCTTACAAACATGTTCGACAAATAAACGTGGTTCACAATTAGAACGTAATCTACTATTTTTAAAGTTACTTCGTACACAATCAAATCGTATATCAAGTGAAAATCATTCGTTTATTATTGATGTTGATTCTAAATGTGCACGAACAGAATGTACGCAACCATTTACAGGAACACAGGCTGTTGTAAGATTTCCAAATAATAAAATTGTTCATCTTCATTGTAAAACAAGATATGAAAATGAATGTTCGAAAGGCAATAAGAACCGATATTAAAAAATTCTTCTTTGCATTTTTTTCTAATTCAATGTGATTGTATTTTTCTATTGATTAATCGTGTGCTATAATTTTATTTCTGTGTGGTTTTTTTCTAGATAATATTGAATAGTATAAAATCAACAACGCGAAACCATCTTTCTCTGTATGTAAATTTCTCTTTATTTTCAGATGGATTTCGATGAATTTATTGAATCTTTGGAAAGTTTACCCATTGATTTAAGTCGTAATCTTCGTTTATTACGTGAACTCGATGATAAAAGTTTATCATTAAAATCAGAATGTTCCACTATTGCAACAAAATATCAAGATTCAAAATCTCACGATGATAAATATTCTATAATTCAAACATTAAATGATTTACAATCTCGACGGTTACTGCATGCGAATGAAAAAATAACCTTAGCCAATCAAGCCTATGAAATGGTCGAAAAGCATATACGTCGTTTAGATGAGGTTCTTGAAGAATTAGCAAATCAACCACAAGTAAATTCAACAACAAATCGAAAGAAAAAACGAACAATATCATCGCATGATGATGTAAATTCAAATAAAAAACGACGCAAACAAGACAAACCTTTGAATCAAGTACAAAATAAAACATCTATTAAAAATAAAGAACATCATGATATAAACAAAGTTGAACCGGTTGGTTTAGATCTATTTCCTATTGACCCCTATGAACCTCGATATTGTATATGTAATCAAGTTTCATTTGGACGTATGGTTGCATGTGATAATCCACATTGTCAAATTGAATGGTTTCACTTTGCATGTGTTAAACTTGAAGAAGAACCTAAAGGAAAATGGTTTTGCCAGCAATGTCGAACAATATCGAATTAATTATATATATATATATATATAGAAATGTATCCGTATTTACACAAAGAATATTTTGTCTTTCTTTTTTTTTCTTGCTATGATGCATTATTGTTATTCATTGTATATAAGTACTTTATTTAATAGAGAGTATATATATATATATATAAATAATCTCTGTTGCAATGGTCTTGACACTCGAATATTGTTCTCTTGTTTGAAATGCATATCTTGACGATATGTCCTAGAACTCGCAATTTACATTTCAATTTTTAAAATTTATTTATACATAATCATTATTTTTAATCAAGTGAAAAAATATATAGAAACAAAATGGGCGGGATCACTGTGTTCGACAAGTTTGTTGTATAGGCAATTTTTGTTTTTTTTCTTCACTAGTTGATTCATTCGTAAGTGTAGCATGATTTGCTGCATCTTGCTTGATTCTTTCTATAGCTAAATCTAATCGTTGTGTTTCACAGCGTTGTTTACATGATTCAGCTTTTGTTAGATAATGAGATATCTGGGAAAGAAAAACCTGTAGAAAAATAAAATAAATGATCAGACACTTACCACATTTTTTAGAATTTTTATTTTGTTAGGATCGATTTCACCTATAAGTTCAAAATATAAAAACAGATTTAGAAGAAAATGAAAACTTACTTCGTGCTACACGAAGCATTACACTTAAACCAGCTTCATATTCTTCACAAGCTTGTACAAATATAAATGAGTTCATCTATTTATTTCAAAAAGCATATTCTTTAAATACAAAGAAACAGAATAATTAAATTTACAAGTTGATTTCCATTTAAACAATGTTGATAAGCATCAAAAAGTTCTTTATCTTCATTAAAACCAACAACAACAGATGGTGATGGTAATAAACTTGTAGTCGGCGGTGGTGTTAATCCTGAATGTGCTGTTGCTGTGTCGTTTATTCGTTTTTTCAAACTTTCAGCAGCAGTAACACCTTGTTGCACTTTTATTCTCAACAATTGCTGCCGATCGACATCTTCGTCGACTAACAGAGAACAAAAAATTTTTAATTTTCATTCGTTTTTCTGTTTTTATTAAATACTTTTGATTATTGCAAGATATGCATCTAGTGCTTTAAGACGATAATCCAAAGCCTTTTTCAAATCTCCTTTGTGTTCATATTGAATTGCTTGTTGTAGAACAGTATCCTATTTTTTCAGCAGTCAAATTAATTATAGCAAAAGAAAGCCAACAGATATATTTACGGCATGAGCAATTTCAGGTGTAAGATCATTAGAAATAAACGGATGTCGGAAAAAATCTGGAAAACTGATTCGTTTATTTGGATCACGCTGTAATAATCGTTCAAGTAAATCATGGCATTCAGGAGAGATTTGCGCATCGGTTGGAATCTATTTTTTTAAATATAAAGAAAAAATATTGTGACTTGCGAGTTTTGATTTACTTCAATTGGAATATCGGATCGGATGGTATATATTAGATTTTCCATTGATGTAAAAACAAAAGGTGGTTTACCAAACAGGCATTCTAGAAATGTAAAACTATCAAAAGTTAGGCCATCGGAAACAAAAACATCTAAATACCATAAAGTATAATTCCGATTGACCAAAGATCAACACGATTATCATAGGGTTCTGATGAAAGAATTTCTGGTGCCATATACATAAGTGTTCCACGTATACTTCGACTTCCTTGTTTGCCTATATGTTGTGCCACACCAAAATCTATTCATTTTTTAGGTAGAGATAGTCTAACACGATCGGAGTGTATTATTTCATACCAGCCACTTTTAATATTGGTCTCTCAATTGATGTTAAAAGAATATTTTCAGGTTTTAAATCCATATGACTAATGCTTTTTTCATTTAAAAACTTCAATACTTTTGCTTGTAAAAATAAATAGAATAGAAGAAAAAAAATGATTAGATTTTTATTTCTAACACTTACATATTGCTTACCAATTTGTTGTACAAAAGGTCGAGCACGAGCTTCTGTTAGCTTTTGCCGTGAACGTATAAACATTGACATATCACCTCCAGCACAATACTCCATGACAATATAAATATAATTGTCATCCCACTGTCGTTAACAGATGAATAAAGACACCGGAAAGAAAAACAAAACAGATGATTTACCTGAAAATCATACATTTCAACAATATTTTCATGTTTGATATGTTTAAGTAATTTGATTTCATTGATAAGTAAATCTTGTGCCGTTTTTGTCAAAGCTTTACGACAGATACATTTAATAGCATAGAAGGCGGGTAGAGCACTGATAGGTCGAGCACTCGCCGGGCGATTACAAGCAGCTGAACTTGGTCTTGGTTGAATACTCTATGAGAATCATAGGAAAAAATATATGCTTTCTTTTATCACACGTCAGAGATGTTCTCAAGCCTTACCGATATTAATCTTGCTTTATATACAGTCCCTAAAATTCGAGCACATGAAACGAAATCGATTATGAATAAAAATCATTACCATATGATCCAGCACCTAGTTTTTCTCCAAATGCATAATCAGGTAAACTAGGAATCGGTGCTGTTTCATTTCGATTAGTCATCGAATACATATTTACATATGAAAATAAATGCAGTCTTACATCTAAAACTAAGAATACCATACGACATCAAATTTTCTTATCTCCAAGTGCTCCTTTAGCAATGAGATAATCAATTCATATTTTTATCATGAAATATGATTTAGAAGAAACAGAAAAAAATGAGACAATCAAATCATAAACTACTGTATTTAATAAATTATCAATGCTGATATAAAAAAAAAAAGGCTGGTAATAATAGGCAGCGCAAAATATTAAACTACAATAAAGTTGTTTCTATAAAAGCCAAGGCCAGTCAAGTTTAATCATGAGCCCATGTACCAGCAGGATATTTTTGATAGAGTTTTTCGATTTTTTCAACTTCTTCTTTGTAACCAAGAAAGATTGGTGATCGTCCATGAATTTCTTTAGGTTGAAGTTTTAAAATTGATTGTTGACCATCTGATGATGCTCCACCTGCCTTTTCAACAATATATGCCATAGGAATACTTTCATATAATAAACGAATTTTGCCATCTTTGGCATCTTTCGTCGCTGGATACAAGAAAACACCACCATAGAGAATTGTACGATGTACATCAGCAACCATTGAGCCAACATATCGATTACCGAAAGGTTTTTCTTTGCCCTAGAATACATTGAAATGAAAGATTTCATCTTTTTAATTCTCAACAAATCAATCAAACCTCTGGGAATTTCTTCGATTGAACATATTCCGTTGTAGCTTTATCCCAATATTTAGCATAACCTTCATTGATGCTGTAGATTTTTTGTGAACCTTTCGCACCCATTTCTGGCATTTTCATATTTGGTGATGTCAAAATAAATTCACCAATAGACTAGAATAGAAAAATAATTTATAAAACAAAAATTGAGTTGTTGTTTTCTTACTGGATCAAGAGTAAATCCGTTGACACCTTCTCGTGTTGCTAAAACAAGCATACAAGCTGAACCATAAACAGCATAACCTGCACAACGTAAATGTTCACCAGTTTGTAATACACAATCCATTAAATCTGTAGCATGATCTGGTTTTTTCCATACAGCGAAAATTGAACCAATTCTAAAACACAACCAAATCAACGTTTTCTATTTCTCTAATTTTAGAAATACTTACGTAACAAGACAATCAATATTTGACGAGCCATCTAGTGGATCAAAACATACAACATATTTACCCTAAAATAGAAAAATCTAAAAGTAAAATAAGTTGAAACTTATTTTATGGCATACTTGTTTTGGTATTTCCACTTCAACAAGATTTTCATTTTCTTCAGAAGCCATGACTTTAACCGTATAGGATGATTTGAGCATATTAATAAACAGCTCATTAGCAAGTACATCTAATTTCTTTTGATCGTCACCTGTTGAATTTGATGATCCTGCTAAACCAAAGCTAAAATCAAAATTTGAATAGTATGATAAACATTTCATTTAGCATACAGTTTTGCAATTCCAGCTTTTCTTACAGCAGCTGCACAGGCTTTAATAGCTGTTGATAACGCATTGAGTAAAATGGTTAAATCACCAGTAGCGCCAGGATATTTTTTTCTTTGTTCAAGTACATAACTTGTTACGGTTACACAGTCAGTTTCCATACTTTGTATTGATTATTAGAAATAAAAATATCTACAAACTAATAGACACCTTTTTTTCTCAATTACTATTATATTTCAAATAGTATCGTTCTGTCTGTAGCACAGACATATATATGTGGGTCAGAATCAAGCAAGCTGAAAGAAAGAAAAAAAAGCATATCACATGATTGTATTCTCTGCATCGAGAGCGAGCGAGAACACAGAAACAGAAGCTACTCGAAGATTAAGGTCCAAGTGAGTGCAGATGGCAGTTCAAAGAAACTGCAGAAAACAGCAGAACAACCAATTAATTTATTTGTTTTTTTCTTTACCGAAATTGAATACAAGAATAATTACATAGCATGCCATTGAGTGTGCGTGCGCCTGGAGTGAAAACGTAGCAGAAAATTGTGACTGCAACTAGACTTGGACAAATCAAACAACAAGTCGACAGATGGAGTGAACGTATATATACATTTTCCAGCATGCAAAATTATACTCCAAATCGGTGTTGAATAAGCCAGAGTGGAAAAATTTTCTGTCTTTTCAAAATGTATATTTTTTGTAATACAATTTTGTTAATGAACTAATTTATTTCAGAAAAAGGAGTAAAAATCATTTCATTTAGTACTCACTACTCGACGGATGCATGCAGTGTATTTGACTGAACAGAAGAAAAATATCGCCAAAATGAAAAAGCGAAAAATCATACAGCAACAAATATTTCTTTGTTCTTTCCTTTAATAATCATATATATTAGACGATCCTTTGATTAATATATTAAATGGGCTTTCCATGCTAGATCTCATTCAAACGTATCTTTGACAAATATTCTTGCATAAAATACAGTAAGAAAATTAGTTAGCCGTGGATTAGTTGGAACCGGCTGCGGGTCGAATCGCCACTTAGGATATCTTACATTTTTATATAGAATCCATTTATAAATTAGAGATGCCCACGGTGGCTGAAAATCTGTCGCTGCTACTGTCGTGCCATCATGGACAACAACTCTGATCGGTACCAAACGTTAAGTAACAATTTTACTATGTTTAATTATGAATTCCAGTTTTCTATTAAGCTGTTTTTTTCTTAGAGCAAGACAAGCCTTGTGATCAAATATTATACGTCTGTGTTATGGATATAAAGATACTTTTCATTAGAATAATCGGGATTCACAATAATACCCGACTGTTTTCAAAATATGATGTGACTGCTATCTTTATTAAAATGATCGAAGATCGATGGTTGCGTGCATGGATCTGTTTGTTATTTGAATCAGATTGAATGATTCCATGCATCACATTATCAACACTAGAAACGATACGTTTTCAAAATCAAAACTTCAGCAAAGTTGAATTCTTCCATCCGCAATGCTCAGTCCTCAAATTAGATAATCGATAAATAATTGATAGTTAAATTAAAAAATGTGGAAACTTCGGATTTCATCCGAGAGTTATGTGTACTGCAAAAAGTGCATGGGACATATGAGTCATTCTAGAATGTCTCAACACCAAAATTATCATGAGAAACAAGGCAATTTGATTTCTGGATGCAGTTTTTGTGCATTTTGAGACGTTTTTCAGGCGATGTTTCATCAGAAAGCTACGGTTTAGCTCAAAACTAATATCAGATTCGGAATCAGCCTTAAAAACTGAGTCGATTTATATATGTTGTGAATAATTCTGAGAAAAATTTGTTTTTTGAAAAAAAACCCTATACTCCTCCTCAGGGATGGTCTGGTCCAAAATGACAATTTTTTCGATAACTCAACCATTTCTTGAGCGATCCTTCTCATCTTCGAACTCGACCGAGATATTCATGAGATTGAACTGTGTGGAAAATTTCATCACGATCTGACTATCCTTTCGAAAGTTATCGTGCCTTCGGCCGGACGGACACACTGACCGATTCTAGAGTGTACTCACTTTTTGAGTACACAAAAACGTGTCTTTTGTACGAATTCAACTCTTTGGAAAACACTGATGTAACGGAACTTTAAAAATAAAATGCGGGCGTTGGTGTGGGTGCGAATGTAGAACTTTTTGAAATCAATATCTTCATCTTTTCTCATAAATTGAACCGGGAAAAAATAAAATTTTAATTTCCCCTAGGGAGATTAAAATTTCAATTTCCCTAGCCCTAGATTTCAATCTCCCCTGTAACATAGACCTTCAAAATTGAAGAAAACATTTCGAGTTATTAGGTAAAATTACAGCGCTCGGTTACAATTACGTTAATAGGTAACTGGCGACACTCTAATATCTGTTACCACGGCCATTAAAGAACTATTATAGCCATTATTGAGTTACTCAAAGATTCTCAGTTTTTTTAATCGTAAAGAAAAGTCTACTTTGCTCTAATGGAAAAAATACATGATCGAATCAGTTGCTTCAACCTATCATGTGAAAGATAACAAATGTAGTAAGATCAATTCAAATGATTCTGCAAAGCATCGTCATTGGAATCTATCAGGATCATTTGAAATCAACTGGTTCCCTCTTACATTGGCTTTATTTTTAGTTGAACATAGAACAAAGTTTTAGTGCTTGAATCTTGCATTGAATCGAAACTTTATCTGCGGTTGTTCGAAGATTGATTTCTGGTAAAAGAAAAAAAATAACATATTCGTTCCAGATATGCAGCTGCTTGTTGTGCTAGAATAGACTAGAATGATGAAAGTGCACAAAGACATGTAAAATTTTCAGCAGCTTTGCATTTCATTGCATCTAAAAGAATCCCATTTTCTGCGAAATAAAATCAGACGTAGCTATAATGAATTATTTTCAAAACTCCGAGTTCAAAATGAGATAAAAGCTTCCTGCTACATTGTCTCATGACAAGTTGTATTGATTTGAAAGGATGACTATAAATCAAAAAAATTCTTGCATTTTTAGATCTATCTTCAAAGCTCAAAGTAATGAGAAGTGACAGATAAAAAAAGACTATAAAATACTTGGAATACTCTAAAGAAAACTGATTTTTGCATTTAGTTTCACGAGTGGTCTACCATGTGCACAATTGAACAGTTTTCACAGGCAGCTTTAAATAATCTTACAGTATGAATACCGAAGTGTCTAGTGACCGTCTTCTGTTTGAGACTACTTCATTGAAATTTAAAATCTGATTAGTGGCTGGCTTCTAATGAAATTGGTAGATACAGTCTCATGGGTTGTTGCACAAGTATTTATTGGTCGTTATGTATGCCATAGATTGTTATTCTTGAAAATATCTGTGCCTATTAAATAATGAATGAATAAATACAAAACATGAGAAGTTGATTGCATAAATCTTAGTGTTTCCTCTCATGTTATTGACTTTGCAAATGTGTATCACCAATATAAATTATATAGAACTTAAAAATGGGAGAAATTCTCCATCCATTGGTAATAAAAGCTCTGATCTCAAGATATCTTTAACTAAAACGATATATGGATGGATATTCGTACATCGGTATTGCATTTGATACAGAAAATGCAGACATAGAAATCTATGACAAAGATAAATCATATGTGAAGAAAAACATTTTCTATATTGTGATCACGAAAACGTTCTTTTCTATTCTCAGAGGAACATGTACCAACATTTGTCGGATTACTTCTTCATCATACATAACTCGATACTACAGAGATAGAACCGGTACCAGTTCTAGCTTTTTTAGTATTATATATGAATATTCAAATTGCTCGTTCATAAAAGCATAAAATGGTTTATCGATGGGTTTTTTTCCTAGTATAAACGACGAATTGATCGATAAACCAGCTGTAAATTGACTATTCAGTACTAATCGACTGCCTGGTTTCCGGTAGAACGATCAGACCGGTACTAATATTAGTGATATAAAATCCCGACCCATTTCATCTCCGACAGACATGACCCTTACCCACACGCCCATAACAATAATTACACATACATATAAATAAATTGAAACTCCAAATTTCGTAAGTTCCTTAAAAGAACTGAGTACGATCAACTGCCCAAGCCTTGATTCAGGTAAGACTGAGTTTAATAGTAAAATAATTTAAAAAATATGATCAATATTTTATTAAAGCCATCACTGATCGCACATGTATTAATGATGTATTTTTATGTCGTAGTTACTCTCCTGATTTAAGAAATAACTCGAAATAAACTTTTGTAGGAAGCATTTTTCTAAAAACTAATGTTCCGCCCTATCTTATGTTAATTATTCATAAACATTCATTCTTCACTTGCAATAGATCACAATCTGGCGTGACGTTTAGACATATCGAGACCTTATAAAAAGCAGTTTTTGTTAGAATATATTTTCTAAATATTATTTGCTTTTGCTAATCGCGTCAAATCCTAGGGATTTACGAAGATTGCCCATGCGAGGTCAAATTTGCATCTAAAAAAATTATAATCATGATGAATTATTAATGTGATTGAACAGCAACCTTGACGAGCCGACGAAGTTTATTGTTATTATTGTCATTTAATATGAACCATGCAATAAATTTAAAGGAAAAAAATATGATATGGGTCCATGGATAGTGAGCGTGATGAAATAATTTTTCAGCAATACTAATGCATGATATGGAAAACTGCGATGCAATTACACAAAACGATGAAAAGCTTTTGTTTTGCTAACTATATCGCCAGTATTCACATCGAATAAGGAAAATATACACTTATTTTTTTATCCAAAAGTCGATATGAATATTCGCAAATCCTTGATATTAATCTCGACGGTTTATGAAAATCATCATATAAAAGGAGAAGACCTCTGTTTAGTTAACCTTCGAGCATATCTCTGAAGTCACTTATAATAACATGCTTCGATGATTCATACTTGAGATCTGTGACTGCTTTCTTTGATTTCAAAAAAGAACATCTCAACACCATAATTCTCAAATTATCCACCTTTTCAAACGTGCAAATCTGTCAAACAGAGAAAAATAATAACGAAGATTATTTCTAAGTATGGAGAAAAACTTTCTAATTTATACTTCACCTGATACAGCCATGTATTCAATCTTAGTTTAATTTCGGCTGTACGTACATTTATGTGAACGTTGCATTTTTCGAGCCACAATAAATAGAAGCGCGCTCGAGCACGCGATGAAAATAACGAGTTCAATTCAATACCATTCATTTTTTTCTTCTTTTTTTGAAGATAGTAATTGAAGAGGAAAATTTTTGTGAGCTTTGATGTTATTTCATGATTCGAGATAATTAAGATGGCAGAAAAAAGAAATCTCACATCAAGATATACCATAAATGTTAGTTTCAGCTAATCTATTATAGTAGACTAAGCATTTGATAGATAGATATATATAGATATTGACAAATGAAATGTCAAACGCAATTATAACTATTATTATTCATTTTCGCATTATTGATTTTTCAATAATTAACATTCGAATCGTTTTCGTATTATTCTAGAATAACAATATTGTGTAAAAATATACATACCGAACGTAAAAAAAAATGATTTGGACACTCACGACATCAATCTTGTAAAGCGAATTTCATATTTAAGGAAAACGATTTTCTCGACTTTCATTATATCATTCGATAGTCCACAATCTCTGCTTTATTCTACAATAAAAATCTTTCTCTTGAAATGTATCTTTAATGGATTTTCAAGAAGCCTCTTGATTTTCTATGCAAAAGTTTTATTTCGACATTTGTATTATTTCTTTTCGAGAACGTTAATTCCAAAGTGAAACATTTTAAAAATAGCTCATTCGATGGAGAAAAATAACCGGCTTCGAATGATCTTCTTTGTTTCGAAAATGTTTAAACAGAGGCGAAAATGAATTGCGAAATACAATTAGTTTAGTTTATAAGCTATTCATTAATCTTGATTTTTCAGTCACAAGATAAGCTCAAAAACGTTGTAAAAAAACCGTGGTTGTAGAGAATTAGATTCTCTTCAAGATGATGCATCTGAATCTATGGTAAGCATTTTCCTTCGAGCTGTTAACACCTTTTCTTTTCAGGTACGTATTCTAGCATGGAGAGGAAACGGTAACTTTTTTTTCTTTCGAAATAAACGTACTAATCACGAGTGAACTTGTTTTAATATCCTATAGCAAGCAACAGAACAAAAAAAGTTGTTGTTTCCTCTCCATGCTAGAATACGCACCTGAAAAGAAAAGGTGTTAACAACTCGAAGGAAAATGCTTACCATAGATTCAGATGCATCATCTTGAAGAGAATCTAATTCTCTACAACTATGTTTTTTTTTAAAAACGTTTTTGAGCTTATCTTGTGACTGAAAAATCAAGATTAATGAATAGCTATTAAACTAAACTAGCTGTATTTCGCAGTTCATTTTCGCCTCTGTTTAAACATTTTCCAAACAAACGACATCATTCGAAGCCGGTTATTTTTCTCCATCGAATGAGCTATTTTTTAAAATGTTTCACTTTGGAATTAACGTTCTCGAAAAGAAATAATACAAATGTCGAAATAAAACTTTTGCATAGAAAATCAAGAGGCTTCTTGAAAATCCATTAAAGATACATTTCAAGAGAAAGATTTCTATTGTAGAATAAAGCAGAGATTGTGGACTATCGAATGATATAATGAAAGTCGAGAAAATCGTTTTCCTTAAATATGAAATTCTCTTTACAAGATTGATGTCGTGAGTGTCCATGTCATTTTTTTACATACTGTATGTACTTGGATATATTGAAACGAGAAAAGATCAATCTAATGGAAGCCTACTAATGAAGATTTTACTTTATGTCACAAGTCTAGACTTGACGTTTTAGGTTAGGCACAAAGATCATTGTAATCTATTTATAGATTGAATAGGACATAAGCCCATCTGTTTTTTCTTTACAATTAGTATCTATTTATTTTTATAAGTTTGCTATACTCTTCTACCTTAAATGTGTCTGGCATAGTCTATTCAGAATATTATATTTGTAAAGAATACAACGAAAATGCCAACCCATCAATCATCATTAGGGGGTACCAATATACCTCAGATCTCATTATCTGTTTGCTATCAAAAACAATTTCAATAGAAATAGGAGTGTTGTCTTTGTCTCGGTTCTTTTTCGTAAACAAAAGAAAAACTGACCATGAAGTACAACAAATACACTCGAAAAATAAAAGGAAACTCAATATTCACTCTCTATTATAATACAACAGAATAGTTTTTAAAACATAGACACAAACAATAAAAAGTTGCAAGAAACAGAAGAAGAAGAAGAAGAAGAAGACAAAAAAAATACTCATAAATTTTGCTTGTGTTTTTTTTCAGTAACATTTCTCACCAGGCGAACATATTGGGATGCATTTTATTTTCTACATGAATTATTAGCAATTGGTAGATGCAGGTATTAGCAATTTGTTACACGTGCATTATCTATAAACACACAACACGGCAAATGAATGAATAAGTAATTTAATGAAATAAGAAAAGATAAACTTCTGTACGTGCTAGAATAATTTATTACTCTTTAGTTGACTTCAAAATGAAATCTCTCGACGAATTGCCCAGTGAATTATGACGATTTGTCGGTATCTGTCTATCGACATTACATAAGGTATGCCCTGCAGAGTGTCTTTTACCTATCGATGACGCTCCTTGTCGATTTCCAGATGGTAATGTGGGTCGTAATGTTGAAGTTATTTCTGCTTCGGTTCGACTTGCATGACGCGATGCTTTTGGTGACGATTGAATATCTAATTCAGACGAGCCTTGGCTATTGAGCGACACTTGTTTATTGAGCGTTTGTTGTCGTTGTTGTAAATAATTAGCAACTGCCATTTTGCGTGTTTCAGCAGCCATTTTTAATGTTTCATAAACCGGATCAACAATTGTTTCATCTATAATTAAATATTTATGTAAAAGGAAATGTTTTTCTAATAAATATATTTACTTGGCTCAGAATCATTATGATGCTTTTTCTTTCCTAATGAAAATCGTCGTGTAAATGACTAAAAATGAAACAAAGTTTCATAATGAAACGGAACAAACAATAACATGCTAGACTCCCATTCTGTTTATGGCACGCAAATAAATGAATCGCAAGAGAATCTTCGTTTTTATATTTACACACGTATTTACTCATTGAGAAAATAATGTTACTACCTCAACAACTTGTGATATAACACTCGGACGTTTTTGTCTTATTAAATTTGCGTTAGGTTTATCGCTGAAAACTGAATAACGACCCATTGTCATGCGTCGTTGTTGATTTGATGATGCATTTTGTTGTTGATCAAATGAAAATACTGTAAAACGTCGTTGAAACCATGGTGTAGAAGTGCGTCTTGGTGGCGGTGTATTCGCTTTTTGAAGTTCACTGTTTTCAGTCGATAGTTTCATGCCTGTTGTTATTGTTGTTGTTGGTGGTGGTGTCGTTGATACTGATGATGCACCAGCGGCTGATTGCCGTCGAGCATAATCCAGTTTTGAATGCCGAGGTTTCAACGAATGCGATCGAATACGACCTGGTGGAGGTAGCGGAACATCAAGGCATTGTTGTTCATTGGTAATTTGCGAGATATTCATCATAGCCATATTTAGATTACAAAAATCTACTTGATATGCGTGTGATGAAGCGTGAAAAACAAAAATACTTATTCGTAATAACGAGAGGAAAAAAGATAGAAAGAAAAGAGCAACAGAAAATAAGAAACTATATATTTGAATGGATGATGCCAACAGGAAACAATCTGAACGGCGACGACAAGAGACACGATTTTGCTACACAGATTTTGCAAGTTGATATATGAGAGTGAGGATGAAAAATGAAGAGAAGGAGAGAAAAAGAACGAGAGTGAAAGGGGGAATAGCATGACAGGCAAAAATGAAACAAAGATTACCATGTTTTCATATAAAAAAAAACAATAGTTAATGACTCTGTGAGACTAAAGATTGATGAGTTACTGGTCGTCAATATGTCGTAGGATAATGATAATGCTGATGAATGCTCACTTGTTTAATTACTAAATAGGTGAAAAAACAAACTTAATACTTTCTCTCTCTTTCTCTCTTTCTCTCTCTCTCTCTCTCTCTGTCTCTTTTCCAGAAGCGGGAAAACGGAGAGCTGAACAAAAAATAAAAAGCTTATTGTTTTGTGATTATTACCAATGCATACACACGTTTATTCTTAATCGAGTTTCGTCTATCCGGATGTGATCAAAGTTATTCGAATGTCGTTATGGAAATTACATTTATTTTTTTCTTCACGTATCTCTTTCGTACGAATTAGTCGATTAATAGAAGATCGGAACGCAAATCAAGCGCACATATATCTTTATATGATCATTCTACGACGAAGCTTTTCATAACTTACTAAACGACCTGCATCAGCACCAGAACCGCTTGAAGACGTTGTGGACTTTTTTAATGCTCGACATGTATCACGCCAAACTCCTTTCATACTTTTTAGACTGCGCTTTTGCGCTTCTGGATCACTTTCGCCAATGCTACTCATCGAGTGTCGATGAGATTTAAGTAATTCTTGCTAGAAAATACAAATAAATAGAATTCATATTCAGCAAACAAAACAAAAAAAGGAAAAATTTTGACAGCATACATGGCAACAACAACAACAACAATATTTGAATAGAATCGACATTATTTTATGTGAAATGATTCTGTTCCTTTTTTTCATTATTTCTAGGTAATGTTTCAAATCGTTAACTACAATCTGTTCTTTCATTGAAAAAAAACACCAAACTACGCCCTTCTGGTCTATATCATTAACGCTAGCACATATATCATGCGCAGCTTTATGACAGAAATTATTTAACAAAAAACAATACGACAAATGAAATAGTTTTTAAAGAACAAAAAAAAGAACCTTACAAATAGTCTAGAACTATTCATTGTTTAGTTTATTCTACTAAAAATAAAATCAAAAATCCATTTTTTTTATTTGCTTTAAGCAAAATCACTTATCGAGCCTATGAATGTCTATCGTGGGCATCATTTTTGAACACGGCAACAAACTAAACCATAAGCACACAAGAGGAGTATTAATCAACCGAACGTCTCTACCGTAGCTCAACCTCAGAGGAATATTAATTTGTTCTTTCATGACGATTATTTATTCTTTGTATGTACAGTGGGAAAATTTGATCAAATCATATATGTTTATGTCAGAGTTTATAGTAATTGCAAAATGAGCGTGTTTAAAACATTGAAGATAAAATATAGTAATTATCAAACCTTAGTTAATTTATATCTTATTCTTCTTTGTCTATTCTTGGTATCATCAGAGACGATTATGTTTTATATTGGGCGAAAAACAATACTATCAGACTGATAATAAATGTGCCCAGTTATTCAAACAAATGATATCATTTTTCTTTCAGATGAAAATATACGGCTTACGTTTGAGAGTTATCAGAATTTGTTATCGTGCTGTGGCTCCGCCCTACAAGCAGAATCTATCTTAAGAGAAAACAACATTTATTTACATAAAACGTTATTCGAAGTATATCTTCAAAAATAGAAGAGATCATCTTTCAAGCCAATCTCAGTTTTCCATCTTTCTCTTAAAACTTACTGCAGTAGGAAAATGATTAACAAAATTTGTATCACATCCAATTTTGTTCTTTTCTCCTATATTTTGCAAATAAAAATTAATTATCAAAAACAAAACGTAAAATATTTGCCGTTATCGTTGTCCTCTATAATTTAGCTGCTATTATTCTAATGTGCATACATACATTTATTATAAGATGATGTCAAAGAATTATGCATAGGACATATTGTTCCAAGTTAGCAAGAACAGAAGAGAATAGTGAATATGTTAATACGAGAAAAACAAGAAAAAGGCGACAGATGAGAAGAGAAATTGCCGATTAATCACGCTGATGGATTCGTTAGACGATTTTATGTATATTTCTATGGCGTCTAGATATATTGTACATGGATATACGTTGTTATCGCTTGTTGCGCTCGATCGCATTATATCGATCTATATCTAGTACCCGAAGACTCGCTCATTTAATGCTGAAAGATCCGATGCGGCATTTGACAAAAGCATCTTCCTATACAGAGATACGTATATGGAAAAAGGATTATTGCACCCAAAAACGCAAAAAAAGCGGGAAGAAAATCTGATAATTTGTTATTTCTCTTTTGCTCTTTATAAGACTACGGTCCATTTCATTGGTTTAATGATATTACCCATGACTTCATGTATGTAGACAAGTAGAAAAGACGTACATAATCTACTTCTAATACGCTATTGTTTTCACTAAACAATCTCCACATAGATACGACGACAAACAATTGTTATACTGAATAGGCGTTTTTTTTAAGCACAAATTTTGATATTACGTCTTCTTATCTGTCAAAGTGGCCATTGCCATTTTCAAGAAGAATTATCTTAGAAGAACAAAAATATCATTGTTATAAACAAATGTCATGGATTTCCTTATGCGTTTGTTTATTTAACTCTTCATTTTTTTGACTTTGTTTGTCGAGTGTAGAATAAAAGCAAAACATATTATCGCATAAAATTCTTTACCTGAGCTATTAAAACAGATTCTTCAAGTTCAATTAAACGTAGCAAATGTTTCTTTTTCATATAACTTTGCAGTTGGTTAAGAATGACTTTGCCTGACCTAAAATAATAGATTTATGACACTAAATTATCATGATGGAAACCTTTTCTTATTTTTAGCTTGATCTTTTGCTTATGCATTTCTAGCCTTCTACATGTTTTTGGACTTTTCCACTTGCATAAATAATGGATATTTGATGTATTACGAGCGAAACCTTTCGTTAATTATAATTTGTATGACATTTAACGGGTCAAGAAAATTCAGATTATATTATTTCTGTTTGTTTTTTCTCTCGCTTCTAAACTTACTGTTGTTGAGCATCTTGTTGTAGATATTGTTTTGATGGTGTTTTATTAACTTGAGTTAATAACGTTGATTTCTCTTTTTTTATTTCTTTTAAACGTTCCACAGTTTCTTTGCAACGTGACGAAACTTGCGATTGAATAACTGGCGCTGCGTAAACTATTAATTGTTCCGAATGAATTGCTGATGTTTGTTGTACACGAGCACTGTACGTTGTCATTTTATTTGACGGCGGGCGAAATGTTTCGAATTCAACTTGAGCTGGTGTTGCCGATGAATCACCACTTGACTCCTTTATTGAGCAAATATAATTTTCTAATTCTTCGTTTGGATCTGTTGTTGTACTTGTTACGACAAATGATGCAAAACTACGATGACGTTGTTCATGCTAGAATAAACAAAACATCTGCATTAATTATTTGATATTTATTATTATAATAAAAAAATATTCTACGGAATAATGTTTTCCATTGTACAAATAAACAACTGTTGACTAATTCGATCGATAAATGGATTTATCTCAAACTATTTTATCGAATATTCAAATTCGTAAAAGCTGTTTTTATCGTTAATGGATATTAGCTGTTGTCGTAACTTAATTTATGTTTTATTTGAAGGTGCCAAATAGAAATGACGAACCCTGACACATGCACAAGGCATATCGAACTGAATTGCTTATTAGAGAAAAAATATACATATTCATTTGCCAAATTTTTTGAAGTACGAGTCATTTGAAGGCAATGGTTTATGTGAAAACGAATGAAACATTTATTAGACTAACATCGAGCCACTCAATCATTTTCATGATTTGATTTAGTTTTGCTAATTGCATTTTGGTGTTAGTCGTGTAGAAATTCTGTACGAATATTAGAATGATTAAGTTAACTCAAAAAAAGAAAGAACAGAACAAGCTTATTTATAGATAATTATATTTGCAAGTATTACAAAGCAAAGAAATGATTAGTGGCAGCTCGAACAAAATGTCGAGATTATGAAAATTCAATTTCTTGAATTTATCTCGATCTTTTGAGTATTTCCCGGTTGAGAACAATCATCATCACCATCTTTAAATCGTCAAGATTTTAGAATAAAATGCGATTTTTGAAATTTTTGTTCACATTTCCTATGAACTTATGTAGTACTTGAGAATGTTTCTAGAATTCATCTCATATATATATATATATATTATGAGATGCAATAATCAGTTGAAAACGTAGACTATTAGACTGAAGTTCACACTTGGATTCTTCACAAGCAAGATATATTCTAATGATAAAATCGTCTATTCATTGTTCGTTATTTATGATTCGATGGATTTACAATAACTTCGGCGCAATATATATTCTACGAGACTATTGAAAATATGCAGTGTAATATCTGAGCCTTATTCAGCATTTAGCCTGTGATTATAATGATAATTTTTTTTCTTTGAGAAAAATATGCCCTGGAGACCAATTAATCACTCTCACTTCACTTTGCCTGTATTCTTATTAGTATGCCTCATTTACTTTTACACGTGTTATATATATATATATATATTCATAGCACGATAGTTTTTCAATCACCTGTGTACATTTTCATAAGACTAAATTCGATTTCTTTTCTTCCAGTAGTGTTCTATTACCCTTTCTTATTTATTTATCAACAAGGAAATTGTTTTCATAACTGCATGCGTACGTTATGTACAAACGTAAAATAGATTAGTATGAATACGCTTCAATATATCTTTCGTCTCCGATGGATGTTTACACTGATATGCAATAATAAGCTTCTCGTTACTATCATTATAACCGTGGTGGCGCTTATTTTGAGAAGAATAAATCAGCACTGCATATCATAAAAGCTAGTATAACATATAGAGTTTACGTATGTTATGAAGGGCGATAATTATAAATCTATCCGCGTGTATATACATAGCCTTTATCACGATCCATATGTGAGTAGAGATGTGCTTAAAAAAAACAGAACGTCCTTTTTTTCTTTTCTCTCGGAGACATCTTTTATGCTCCCGAAATTGATTCATTGTTCGAGGTGAAAAACATTGTAAGATATGGGATTTATAATTTATTAAAAAATAGACGAGATATATTAATAAAAACACGAAAAGTGGTCATCTATTCAAGATCATAATAGGAAACAATTGAGAATTTATTAGAACTTCGCAAAAACGCCTCTTCGCAATTTTTTTGTTCGTATATTTGTTGGATAACATTTTTGAACAGAGATTTGTAGGAAATCTGATGTGACACTAAGAAGTTTCAAAGTAATTCTAAGATGTCTGCGCTTACATGACTGCATATTAAAATTAAATTTTGTGAATGGGTAATCTGTACATCATTCACTGAAAGTTGGTTTGAAATGCTTTTCATCAATGTGTTTCTACTCAGGGGAGCTCTGCTAGTCTTCCTAGCTTACTTTTCATTCTATTCTTAAAATATTGTGCGTATTATTCTGCATAGAAGAGTAAGTTTTACTCGAAAACTTCTGATATTTTACATCATATCAGTTTTTTTCCGGGAAACAAGTGGATGCACATGATTCTATTTCTTTATGATATTTTCTCCAATAAACCAGCAGATGTCGCCTTTCAAGAAACTTATAGTAATCAAATGGAGATCACTTAAAATTTTCCATTTACTGAACAGTAACTTACATGATTCTCTATGAGAGAAGCGATTAATTGTAAATTTTGACAAACAGTATCAATAACATTAATTTGTGATTGTTCCATTCCCTTAGTGTAAAAAGAAAATATATTTAGGAAATTCTTCGATCAATATAATTATTTACTTGAAGGAGTTGTGGTAAAATATGATATTGATATTTTGATAGAAGACTATTAACGCCAACTAATTCAATCAGATATTGATTATGAGCCCGATGAAACTCGGGTGTAACGCCCGAGTCATTGTATGTTTTCGAATATTCTTCTTGTAACTAGAATAATTGAAAAACAAAATTGACCTTTTGAAATTTTCGCTATTTATTTATTTGTTTCAAATTAGTAGCTTTGACACACACACACACATATATATAGATATATATAAGTACATTTGATTGATCAAAAGAGAACAATTAAAACCAATTATAGATTAGTAAAAGAAGACAAAACTAAAGTATAATAATTGATTTGTAACAGAAATTCTTTAGAAAATGGTTGAGTAAGTATGGTTAAGCAGCTTTGCATGGATTGTTCTGCAATGCTTGTCTATATTCATTTTATTCTTAATATTCTATGGAGCACTTTTAAGAGTTCTTTTTAAAAGCTTCTTTTTATTTTCACCAGATAAACCTATACTGACTATGAATAGGTTTTACTTTTAAAATGATTTATTTAAAGTATCAAATTATTCATAAATCAATCAAGCATACTTTTTTATTCTGATTCATATCAATTAGTATCACGTAAGTGTGATGGATCACATGTAATTATAGAAATTCTCGTATTTATAAGTTTTTTCTCTAGCACTTGACGAGAGAAAGCAAAAATGACAGAATTTATCAAAGTTAATTATCTTAATTATATTTCATTTTTCCTTTTGTAAAGTAAATCTCTACTTACTTCTTGAACAATTTCATGACTTCGCTCTAAAATATCATTCAGATCCCGACGATGTTGTTTATTGATAGTTAATTCAACACTTTTATTTGTTACAAAACTTGTCAACGGTGTACATATTTCTTTTTCCATTAAACATGCCATTTTTTTCAAAGACTATTTAATAAATAAGAATAAAACAATCGTAATTATATCTATATCGTTTTCTTTTTCTATTTACCTGTGATTCCAGTTCAGATTCAAGTAGTAACGATTCCCATAAATCGTACATCATACCACCCAGGTGACATCTAGTAAAACAAATCGATACATTATCTGTTGATCGTAGTCATTCAATACTTGTCTCGAATTTCACTTTCGGTTTTTCTACGAAATTCAGCTGCAAGTTGATGCAATTGAGATGACGCCAAAAAACATATTTTAGCCCATTGATTTGTGAAATCAGTAACTAAATTAATATTAAATGTTTTAAATAGATAAAAGGAAAACAAAACGCTTCGATTTATTATTAACTTAGTTTAGTAAAGGCTATAGTCACTTCAGCATATTCAATTAATTTATGCCATACTTGGGGATGAGAAAAATCAACAAAACTTATTCGACGTCTATTGTTGTTCGCCATATGCCTTATCTAAAAAATGGTACAAAGAAAAACGTATAGCTAAATAAATCTGCTTTACAGAAAACAAAGAAAACGATAAACAGTGATAAATAATTGCTTACAGAAAAAAAGCTCTCCAGCGACAAACTAAAGATTAACCAGGAAAATGGTCATATTATATTAGTTTCTTGAGGAAAATTGGCGATTTGAATGTGTCGTTACAGTTTTTTTTAAAAGAGACCATAAAACATGCTAAGATCACTTTCAATAGAAGATATATGAAATATTTCTTTCTTCCATTGGTTATTCCGTCGTCTTTTCATTTTGGACTCTTTTTTTTTTTCTTCGGTTAATACTCGAGCGAGCGCGCGTTCATGATGGTGTCAATCATTTCGCTCCCAAATGCTGCCGATGTATTCAATCCACTATCACAATCTCATTTTTTTCTCGACTGACTAACGCTTCTGTTATATCGTTGTCTTTGTATATGTGTTCATTTTACCACACGTACTCCTCCTCATTTTTTTTTGTTCTCTGCCTTTGCGTGACAAAATCTATTTGTACGACGATATGCGACTTAATCACTCCTCGTGACGCCATATACCTTGTCGGATCTTTCTTTTACTCATGTAGATTGACTGCGATTTTTTTTATTACTATTGTTTGTCACATGTTATTAACGTCTTTTGTTTATTTTTGAACATCGGTTTTCTTTAATAAGTTCGATACATTCGTGTCTATAGAAGTTACTACTTTAAATATATTCGTATGAATGATGAAATCTCTATGGAACTTAATCGAACAACAAGAAAAAGAATCACACATCAGTGAACGTCATCTAGAACAATAATGTCGGACAACAATGCCTGACATATAACTATAAAAAGAACGGGTTTCTAGAGCAACCGACTGTTATTATCGATGAAGCAGATGATTATGAATGAAAGATCAAACTGCTTGTAACTCATTTTTTTTCATTTAGAGCTCAAGGGCAAATCGAAAAATATTCGTAGAATAATACTACTTTGAATTATATTAGCATGAGAGAGCGAGAATCTCAATAAATTTTGTTGTTCATAACACGAACAATCTAATCAAGTTGTTAGTCTAGTAGACTATCAAGACTTTGCTTTAGTGCTATTGATTGAATTAAATTGAGAATCTTCACAAACGACAATGTATATAAGTGAATAACAATATGTTTGCTATTTGAAAAAAGCACACACACACACACACACACAGGCGCGATGAGAAATTTTAATGATATAAATAGATCCTCGATCAATTGTATGTAACAGGAAAAAAGATTTTCTTTGTAGTTTGAAGTGAAATACGGCAGTGACTATAATAATTCTTTTCATTCATAAAAGAGTTAAATGTCATTATTTATAAGGATAAGCCAGCGAGTTATTGTCGGAAATTCATCACCCGAGCTTAACGGAAACAATATATTTATAACATTTTCTAAAATATTAGTTTTTATGTTTAATTAAATTTTTTTTTGCATTAGTGAAAGCACATATTTATACATGAATGCCTAGATAAGCAGACATCAAATCTTTTGTCTCTCTATTTATAATACAGAGAGAAAAAAAGAATATATTATTGCAAATGCATTAAAGTAATTGCATTCATATTATTTTTTATTCACGACAAATAATGAAATTTAAGACTAATAGCTGATAACTGATAAAATAAGTTTATTTGATTGTCAAGTATATTGAGCACTATGTCTCTTCGATTCGAACTACGGTGACATTTGTCCTCGTAATCAAAATCAAAATACGTATTTAAAACAAAACAAAAAAGAGCACACAAATGATATTGTCTCTTGTTCCATCGCTATTCTTTTTTGTACAATAAATGGATTGCTGGCCGTTCGTTCTCTTCCTTTCACTCTCACGTGGGAGAACGAGTAATAAAGAGGAGAAAAAAGAAGGCTCGCTTATTTTATGCACATATATGTATCAGCCGCACCCCCATCATTCTTGTCTGTAGAAAACACGACAATGTCATTCGTTGTCTCTATGGTCCTATAAAACCAAGGCGCTATTTTGTACTTTGCTCTTATGATGAATATATAAGTACTTTACTTTTTGACACAATCTCTACATTTTCTACACTACGCTGTATCGCCGTGAAATTATACTTATACAGTTGCAAATGGCTTCAATAAATTATTGCTTTACAGTTTGTCGTGCAACCGCAGAACAAGCTCAACAAAGAAATCATTCGAACGAATCCTCATCAACAGCTATGGATTTTTCTAAGTCACCATCTCCCACCACCGGTGCTTATTTTTTTGGGCGATTTTTTTCATTTGGTACGACACCGCCTGCATCTCCCATCGATAATCCATTAGCTGCCAAAGCAGCGAATCTAGATGATGTTAATCATAATATCTAATCTATATTTGTTATTTATTTCATCATATGTATAGAGGACTATTTTCAATTTATTTATCATTATTTGCCATACGCCAGATAGAAGAAATGGATCTAATATTATTATGTGCATGCGCACTTTCGTTTGGAAGTTCAAATTGAATGTAGCAAAAAAATTTTTTTTCTGTTTTCCTATGTATATTTTTATATATCTCCAAGTCTATTGTTTTCTGTTTCATTCTACAACGAGAAAAACAAACCTATAATTGCTAATAAAATTGTTATAGCTCACGATTGATTTATATCATCTTGCAGTCTTTCTTAACGAGAATTATGGCTCTGTTCTTTTTGATGAAAGAGAAAGATGCACAAATGATTTATATAAAAACCTCTAATAATTCTTCTTATCATGAAAGGACCGGATGGGAAGTTGGAATACATAAACAGCTTCGTTCCTTATCATTTGCTCTTGTAGCTCAAAGGAAGCTAAAGGATAGGACTCTGTTTTGCCATTCTATTAATATATTTTAATATATTCTATGCATATATATATATACATATTATTATTAAACACAAGATTAAATTGGATCAAATCGATATAAATTCCACTTGAAATAGAGGATGAAGTTGCTTGATTGTTTGTTTTATTGTCAATTAACAAAAAGAAAGAAAAGAAAAACGCAGACTGTGGGAAAAAAAACAACAACAAAAATTACCGATAATGACGGTAAAATATTACATCAATAAACGTATTTTCATTCTATAATGAACCATTAGATTTAGTCTTTTTTCCACAATAAATAAATACGCACACATCGCTAGGCTAGAAAGAGATAAAAGAATTAAGAAATGGATATAATGCGTATTTTCTTGTCTTAAATAAAAAAAGCCAACTAAGAAAAATGAATACACGATCATTTACAATAGAGAGAAATGTATTAAATTTAACATTATAGTTATTTTCTTTGATTTGTTTGCTTTTCGAGCATGTAAAGTTTATCAGTTAAATTGGATTTTTCACGTTCTAGTTGTTCTATTGTATTGCGTTGTTCTTCAACTTTAGCTGTTTCTGTTATTAATTGTTCAAGTAATTGATTATGAACGTTCGGAATAGATTGAGAGTTTATTGCTGTATTAGTTTGGTCTTGATTATTATTATTACCTAAAATATAGCTAAGTTAAATAAGAAATAAATCAACATTTATTACTTACCTGCGAGTATTGTCGAGTCGGAAAGATTTTCTAAAAGTAAATCTTCTGTTTGATTATCGTTTGTGGTCGATTGTAAAAGTGGCGAAAGTAATCCATTATCTTCACCAAATAGATCTTCGATAGATGTGCCATCAGGCAGAGTTTCAAACATTAATTCACGGATATTGTCAAGTGACGATTGAATATGATCAACATCGCCTGTTATATCATCAAGTGAAAAACTGAGTTGTTCAGAAGGTGTATCTAGTTTAAGCTCTTGCGGAGTTTGTGGATATAATGTTGAATTTAATGTCGGAGATATTTTAAATTCATCAGCATGACTTGATTGAAAGACATTTGGAAATTCAATTTGCTCTTCTTTTAATAGTCCGGGAATCGAAATTGCTTTTATCGAATTTTCGAGGGGCTAAAAGAAAAGAACACGAAACATATAGCTCTTATTATCACGTTCGATGAATAGGCAATTTCTTTTTCTTGTTGATTCTCTGGAGATTTGCTGTCCGATTATTGTATAAATTTCTCAATTCTTCTTAGTAAACAACAAAACTCTGTGTGCTGCTGTATATTATAAAAATCGAAAATTTATGAAACTATTTAAAGATATTTTTCATGTCAACCAAAAGTACACGCTAAGACAAGCATATATAATGGATGTCCTAATGGCCTATAAATGTTCTGAAAACGCGTAAGTTGATTAGTTTATCGATTTATAGACATTGTACTTTCGCGGTGGTTTTTTTAATGGATCTTGTTTCTATAGTGATCTTAAATATACATATATGATAATAACATGTCTGTTATATCGTTGACATAGACCGTAAAATTGCATACTCTTATTTCAGAATAGGAGTAAATAAAAATATCATGAACTTTAACAATAGACAACTATCGATAACGTTCATTTCTGTAGAAAATTCTACGCTGACAAGAAACCTCATTTGAGTCTACATAGTCTCATATCAAAAAATCGAATTATCAGCCGAAAGAATCTTTCATTAGTCTTGAGCGCGACGAATAGTATGCTACGAGTTATCTAACAAAATTATGTATTTAGTGTCACAGAAAATAAATCAGCGTGAATGAAAAGCTTACATCAATGCCATCTGACATTGAAAGTCTTTAGTAACAGTTTTTGTTTTAGCCCGGAAGGATCATTTAAATTGCTAGAAATGTAAACGCCTAATTTTAGTAATAAAGAGATATGTATGATAGATTCTGGTATGATGCAAACTACTGTGAAGAAGTCAATCAGACCATTGGAAAGATCCCGATCACTCAAATCTGACGCAAATAATATTTATTTAATGTTTACCGCATTAATATCTCTCGGATTATTTCCATATGTCAGCCCAATGTTTTTTGTGTTTTCATTAATATTATCTGTTCGCAAGATAAAATCTGGTACAAATCTATTTCCATCGCTAATCTGTGGGATAGTTTTATTTTTTTGTGAAAGATTCTTCGATTCATTGAGACTCGACGTAAGAAATTCATTTGTTGACGAAGCAGCCCATTGATAGTCATTCGATTGTTGTTGGTGTTGATAATTATCCTCTGTATTGTGTGCTGCTGCTGCTGCTGATGATGATGATGATGATGGTGGCGGTGGTGGTGGTGATGGAACAAGATCGACTAATGGTGATGCGTTTGCTGTTTGCATCCATCCAGCGACATCATTGTCTGTCAATTCATTGATTGTTACACTCTGTTGTCGGCCAATATTAACTGGATTTGAGAATCGTTGATGTTGTTGTTGTTGTTGCATTGTGATTCGCTTATTTGGTTCTTCAGTAAGCATAAGTGCAGCTTGTTTCCGTTTAAGAGTATTTGGTGATACACCTTGATCACTCATAAATAGTGGAGAACTATTCGGATGCTGTAAATTATTTGTTTGTTTGAGATGAACAAAATGAGTAGGTATGACTTCTTTTTGAAGTGATTGTACAACGGATTGTCCAGTAGACTGTGCCGAATGGTTTGTAAGAAAATGTAAAAGAAATTCCATTAATTTTGAAACAATTTGTTGTTGCTTAGTATGCTTCTGTCTTAATGAACCTATTTCACTCCATAATGCTTCATTTTCATTTTGCAGATATGACAGTTTGTCACTCAACGATGTCTGTTTCGTTTGTAAATGTCTTACATCTTCAAGTACATGGATCAATTCTGGTTGATGATTGGAGTTTGATTCTACACTACTTGCTGAAACAAGTGCAGATGATGGATGAGAACCTTAAATAAACAACACAATGCGCTTACGGGCGAAGAAAAACAAAAGTATGCATTCATTAATACCTCCTTGTGTATTAGATTTTTGTTGGTTTTCGGGTGCACGTCTTTTTATTAATTCTAGCAATGATTCTTGTCCTCTGATAAAATATGAATGAGCAAATTCAATATCATCTCTTTCAGTTTTCAATGAGCCATGCTCAATGGTCGACAATTTCCGAAAACCATACATATTCAATTGACGTATAAAAGATGCGAAATTATTATGTTTAAAATATCTTGGGAGAATTTCTCTTGCAAAGCGTGCTTGATCAAAAACATGAAACGATGAACCGGATGGATCCCAAGCAATCAGATCATTACACGACGAATCATTAACAAGCGACCATAGTTTAGCTAGAAATGCCGTTATAGAGCTTTGAGATGATTGATTCGAATATTGCAAATAGTCTCCAAGATTATCGTCACCTATATTCGACGATGACTTATTCTTGGAATTCATATCTAAACAAAAATAAAAAATGTGCGCGTAAGTTTTTTTGTAGTTGTTCTTCGCGCCAAAAAAACTAATCATTCTCTCTTATCAAAATCCACAGGAGTTCTAGCAAACGCGTGTGTGTGCTTAATCAATTACAATGAAAATAATTGCGATCCTATTTTTATGTTACTTTATTAACATCAATTTTATCAACGCAAACTATCCTAGTCATCAATGTTATGTATGTGATAAAAGTAGTTGTGACCATCCTACTGCCGAGGATATTAAACAGTGTTCGTTGGATGAAACTGGGGGTACTAGTGGCAAATATTTTGTTGCTGGCGCTTTTACGAAAAATAATACTAATAATATTTATAATGATATTGAAGAAGACTTGAATAGTTTTGGTACAGGCCCGTTAGGTTTAAATGAATCATCTATGCCATCATGGAATAGTCTTACTCGATGGGTAACGATGTTTCTATTTTTCAAATCTTAATAAAAGTATGAATATTATTTTAGGTATGCTTTGTATCTAAAGATCACCATCGCGGTTGTCTATTGATGGGCAAAGGTCTTTGTTCTGAGAGTAAAAGTTTGCTAGGAAGAATGAAGGGTTTGGCTAAAAAACTCACTAGTATTGTGAAAAAAGCAAAAGAAGCTGTAAATAAAATGTTTACCGATCCAACAGTTGCAGCAAAGCTAGATATAGCTCATCAATTAGTAAGAATTTTATTTTTCTTTAATAGAACCAACTTCTAGGTTTGCTTTTAGAATATTACGAACTGGTTTGAAGAGAATTATATGAGTAAATTAGTTTCTAATTTTAAAGAACCTCAATATCAACTTGAAATTTGTTGTGAAGGTGAGATAGAATAATTTATTTAAGGGTTTTTTCCGGAAAAGGATTTTTTTTTTTAGGTAATAAATGTAATAATTATGCTTCAATGGTACAAATTTCAACGGCAATATTGATTCTATCAATTTTAATACTCATTTAAATTGAGTTTCAGAAACAAAAACAAAAAACGTTTCAAATACATAAATTTCAGTAATATATTAAATTATTGTTATTGTATTTAACTGGAAAATAAAAGATACAAGATGATTTTGAACATAGTGGACATCGAATAAAGAGAGATTTTCGAAAGAAGTACTTACTGAAATTAGATTTTTCTTGTTTTAAAAACGACATGATCAATGTTTTAAATCCAATAGTTTGTTTGAGTTTTTGAACGTTAAGCTTGTTATGCAACAATATGTATATATATATCTAGAAAGAAAATAAAATACTCTGCAGGTGTTATGTTTCGAATGAATGAAATCATTTCTAGTCGGAAGAAGAATTTTAGTAGAAATAGGTACTTAAGTCGACAAGGTGATGTAATACGATGTTTGATCTGTTAGTTAATATGAGCGGTATTGAAAATAAATAATTATTTCATTGAAGAAAATTTTAGGATATTTTATGGACAACCAATCATAGAACTAGACGTGACAGTCAAAGTAGAAACACGTATAAATCACTGACATCTGGCTAGAGAGCGATGGTAACGAACGATTATCATTGTGCGTTCGATTCTCTTCACTTGATATTTTATTTCGTCCAAAGATTTCTGTTTATGGAATATTAAAATTTACCTAGAGGTAAATTCAAGCAATCGAATGCTTTTAAAAAATAGTTGCATCTTATTCAGATTTTCATTGTATGATTTCACCGATGCACAACTGCGATTACATATCTGACTGATAAGTGTGCAGCAAAATATTTAAGTTTCCTCTAAACATGTGCAAATTATGCAACGAAAACAATGATATTATGCGCATGCTTTCGTATATCTTCATAAAATTTATCTCGAATATTTATATGTATGGGAAAGAATATGTTAGTTAGAAGTGTTTCGCAAATAAAAATATTCTAGAAAAATGAAAGTCAAGAATGAGCAATTAAATAAAATACCAGAATAAAAGTCTATCAAACTTCTTATCGATTTCAATCAATTATAGAAAAATAAATAAATTCGATTTGCATAATATCGTTTCTTACAAATCAATGTATTGTTGAACAGACTTTTCTATTGTTTTATTTTTCAATAACATCAAAGCGTCATTAAAATGTTTAGTCGATGAACTGAGCAACGAACTGTCTTTTTTTTTTCATGTATCATTTAACCACCCGCTAACCATCAAACTTGGCGTCATTGCTCTATTTTCCCATCACTTGATCTCAACAGTCACTTAGTCTCTATCCATTAAAGCTAAAGATCAAAGAATCATAAAACAATATATATGTACTTCATTCGTGGACAGTGATATTTCCTGGAAACAAAATATAATTGTGTTTCTGTTTTTATTTTGTTTTGCTGAAATCCACGCGTGAGCAATCGAATTATTCAAACAAACATGCAATCGCTTGTCAACAACGATTATGAACACGCGTCAATATCAACGGTGGGAAAAGAAAAAATGCCCGTATATTGGAATTATCGCTGTTTGCTATCTCTCATCGTTGATGAATCTGATTATAGATGGTGGTGGTGGTGGTGATAGTTATAATGGTCGGAAAGAAAAAGCGATAGCGACAGCTGACCAATATAATTGTGGAAAGAAGGGAAGGAAAAGAAAAAAGTTTGATCGTATTTCTTTTCCTTCCTCTTTTCTCTTTACCTTCAAATCGAATATAAATATCGATAGGAACGAACAGAAAAAAAAGGCAAATGACCTCTCACATATTCGTTTCAATGCCAATCTATCACCCTCAGAACCATATTCTCGTTTTATTTTACTATTCGTAATGTTGTATGACGACGAATTCTACCAGTGATTTTAATCGATTAATGTATCTGCTTGATACAGATAATCTTGATGATGCACGAATATTACTTAAACATCAAACATTAGCTATGCGTAATAATCTTTTTGATAAACTCGATAATGATGATAACACATTACTTCATCGTTATGTCCTTCGAAATCATGCGGATGCTGTACATTTACTATTGGAATATGGCGCTTCAGTTTATGCAGTGAATAAATATGGTTGGCTACCCATACATTTAGCAGCTTATTGTGGGCATGATAGGACTATTGTACAATATCTACTTGAATTCGAAAAAAGGTAGATGCATATGAATTTTTTTTTGTTACTGTTATTCTTTAATAAAATACATTACGAATCTAATATGTTAATTGGAATCCACTGTCTCGATATCGATCAACGAGAATTGTGTAATGAATAGAAAAATCAAATGAATATGAGAAGTGCTGAAATCGTTGATGATAAACAGTTGACAGCTATGTTAATATTGAGTATTATTACACCTGCAGATCGGTTTAATGATGGTGTTGAAATGGATAGCTGAACCGATGAGAATGTGTTAAGGAATTTTTTCTCTCTTCTCTTTTTGGTTTCATCGTTTAGATTTTTTTATTTTAACGAAATACCATTCTATGCTAATTGCTCGTTTAGATTGATCATCAAGTGTGAATGTATCTATTCATTCTTGAAATGAATATACAGCCAATTATTGCTGGATTCATTGATTGATTTTGTAAATTTCTTAAGATTTAAGTCAGCACTTGTTTTCTAGTATTCTGAAGAGGCGTGTACACATAGTGGTATAAAAAAATGTCTAGTCGACCATCAGAGAAGTCCCGTCATGCTAATTATGAACTTCACCCGTGTTGATTGTTTAATCATTATCGTTAGACTATGAAAAGAAATTCAATCTTTTTTTTTTTTTTTGAAGAAAATCATATGACATCGATTTGCGAAACAAATTAATAATATAAGAGCTTGTATTGATATATATTTTATTTCTATCAAATGTAGAAAAAAAAGCAAATGGTATGAAAAAAATAAAAGAAAAGAAACGGTTCTAGTTTAACTGCTCATATCACTATAATTCAAGATGTAGAAGTTTAGCTGATGGCAATGAAACACGGCAAACGATTGATCGTGGCACTAATTTGTCCCAGAATGTGTCCTAAAAATATGCGATTGATTTTTATCTATCTGTTTGAAAAAGACTTACGTTTGGTGGACATGATTTTCTTGCGTAAGCTTCCATGAAATAGAAACATGATTGAAGACCAACACCAATTAAAAGAAATGCCCAAACAAGTATATTGTAGAGTACACCTTTATTTCTCGGTAGAAAGAAGAAGAAGCACACTGAAAAAAAAAACAGTTTGATATTTAAAAACAAAATTTTGACTAATTGATTTACTTCCGACGATTGCAAACAATACAAACATAACGGGATAGAAAAATCCAAGTGCAAATATCATAACATATTCATGAAAAGTGGCCGATAAAAGTACGACGGCAATAGCTGGAATAACACGATTTGTTTCTCCAATAAGCTAAAAATGAAATTTTCGATACTTTATCAAAGATATTCTTAAATATGGTGGAATTTCAGCTGACTATCTTCAATAGATTTGTTTTCCTGAAAACTTAGCTTTTCTATAGCTCGTAGAAATCTATTGTTGATTTTCAGAAACTCATTCTCGGATTCACAGAGGAAACAGATTTCGGAAGTTTATCCGTACGAAATGCTTACAGCAAAAACTTCTTTATAAATGTATGCATAAAGCCAATCATGCACAACAATGTTCCATGTTCGATAATATGCTGCAAATGAAGTTGAATTCCACCAATCCTATGTAGACAACATTTTCATGAAATTTTTATTTGAAACAATTACGAATGTTTACTTTATAGAACATTCGATCAGCAAATCGAAGCATTTCTGCGAAGGCATTGAGCCAACAGTGCAAAAATCCATAGAAACCTATAGAAAAAATTTCACTTGATACGTAAATTCTAATAAATTATCCTTACCCAATAATAGAAAAAGACTTCCAGGCATAATTGAATTAAATAAAACAGATGTAAATATCGACAGTGTTATCTGATTTTGATTTAAATTAGCAAATGTCGGTATACAAAAGCGAACAACTACGTAATAGACATAAAATATAGCTGCAATTACTTGTCCAAACATTTGTAAAACATAATCCCAATGTATAACTGCATTGCGAGGATATTTATCACGATAGATTAATGTTGGAGCAAATAGAAAATATAAATAGTGAGAAAAATCTGGACAAGATAATTCGACTCGGTTAGTATTATCATTTGTCTTGGCTTCTAGAGAGAGAGAGAGAAAAAAAAAGACGAGTAAGGAATTCTGTCGAGGAAGTTTATGAGTTATGAGCAAATTAATCATGCTGATATTTTAACGAGAGTAAATATGAACAAAAACAAATCTTTTTTTTTGCTTTTTCCTACAACGAACCACTTATTAAATGACATTGTGCACGGATGTTTTCAATATTTTCGCGAACGAATGAATGCGTTTTCATCAATTGACGGAGCTAGAGAAAAGATAATTATTTGCTTTTTTCTGTCGAAGCCTTCTCACCTGTTCGAGTAAAACAATAAATGACGAAGCAATAGCTAATTGATGTTTAACGATTTCACGACACGGTAGTACTAAGAATAAGACTATATAGAACATATAAATAAATAACCATATTGTATCGTAGATTCCTAAAAAGATAAAATTTTGTTGTATAACACTTAAAAATGTGCGATGATAACGTTAAAACAAGTTTTTCATAGAAAATTTAAGAAATCGAAAAAGCAGCAATGTCTACTAACATCTATAGTTAGTTGTTCAAGGGTTTTAAGCCAGACTGAAGATGAATCTGAATATTTTATTTTCGTTCTTACTTAATCTTTTGACACTATCACAATACAAAATTCGACGACTAGCCCAATAATAAAACCCCATAAAAACGACTACGGCAGTACATAATTGCATAATCAACCAGATAAATAAAGCAATATGTAACTTGTTAAAACATTCAAAAATCAGTTGAAAATCTAATTTTATCCTTCAAAACAATAAGCAATAATGAATTCTTGTCGAATAAGATTTTGATTTTTACCTGCCGTGTTCTACCAAATCATTGACTGTCACTTGTATAACAAGTATCAAAAGCATTGCAGCAAACATATTTCTTATACCACGAATATGCGATGTTTCAAATAGATCGGTTAGAATAGAATTACGAGGAATAAATGTACGTGATGCATTTATTTGTCGATTGGGTGGTCTAAAAGAATTATTCAATTTCAACTCAACACAATGAACTAAGCGCGATGACTAACTTTTGTTCCGGTCGTTCTCTAGTTTTCGGTTGCCGTAAATCAAAATCATTTTTGAATGATACAAATTTTTCATTAACTTCATGTTCAATGCGATGTAATTCATTTAAAAGAGATGAACGAATTTTCTTCAAAAAAGAAACGTAAACCTTGTTGGTTGAAAATTAAAACTAAAAATGTTTACTTCTGTTTCATCTTGAATCCATTGTGAGTCATTACTAATGACTATAATGAAATGAAAAATTCATTACGTAATCATAGAAAAAAGTACAACGCTGTTACCTGTGCTCATCCTTGTGATGAAAACCAAAGTTCGTTTTGTTGCCTTGTGGTAGCTGATAAATCTACAACTTTTGATTGCTTGTATGGCACAGCCAATAAAATTCAAAAGCGGAATTTTTCTTAAATTGAAATTGAAAATCTTTTTTAAATTAATTAATTATGAAAAAATAAACATTTTGAATTTTTCGTACATGAAAAAAGACGAATTTATGAAATTTATTCGAACAAATGAAAATCGTAGTCTTTGTTTCATATTTTGGTTCACAATTAAAAACTCCAATCAATCATTTCATAAATGTCAGCTATAGCGTCGGCAACAGTTAAGCCAAAGAAACAATCATTTCATGCAACAAATGTGGTATGATTGAAAGAAAATAGTAAATTGGTTTTTTTTCATGAATATTTATCTTTGTTTCTTAAAGTGGAATGAACTTGTTGAAGGTTTTCGTTCAAAAATTGAACTAAGAAAATATCGTCGAAATTATTTTACACAATCATATGAACAATGTTTTTCATCAATAGATGCAATTAATTGTATGATCAATGTTCTTAAATCACATCCGAATTTCGAAACAAAACAAATCGAAAAGTTTGAATATCAAATCTGAATTTTGACAAGGAACCATTGTTCTCTTTTTGTTTCATTTCCATTAGACATCATGCAATTCGTTTATTAGAAAAATTCTATGAATCGAAAGTTTTTTCCGATGTAATTAAAAATGAACGAAGAAAAACATTTGTTACTGAAAATGGAATTTATCAGTAAGTTTTCTATAAAATTATGATTATTGCCACTGTAAATCTAAGAATGCTCTGATATTCACAGGGAAAGTATTCGAGTTGAAATGGAATAGTTGCTCAGGAGATAGAGAGTATCCTTTGTTCTTCGATAGCGAAAGCTTTAGTATTGATATATCTCTCTTTGCAATCCGCCAAAAACCAACTAGAAAAATACTGTCGAGCTTTTATCTTATTCCGCGGGAATGAAACACTAGAAATCTTACTATAGTAGGACGATTATGGAAATTTTTTGTTGTTAACAAAATGCATACGTTGATAGTTATCAATGACTTCTGATGAGATGCTCAATGAATACGAGATGAAAACAATGGATTCGAATTACTTCATCCTATGGTTAGCTCGTCTTTTTTGAATCCGAAGAAAATGTTTCTATCATTCATACGCTTGCCCCACAATGTTAGTTCTGATTGCTATCCTATTCACGTGAATAGTCAATTTCACATGATGTTACAAAAAGAAACTGTTTAGACTCTTATCAAAAGCAGATGAAAATATTTTTCAATCAGTGGTTAATACAAATAAACCAACAGATCATCCAGTTCATCCACAACAAGAATCATCAACATCTGCAATGAGCGATGTAGGTTTGATATTGGTTGGATTTTGTGACTCTAAAATAGTTTCATGCGCATAGAGTTGGAAACAATATTTTATTGAACGACTTGAGAAATATTTGTTGAAAACACGAAATCGTCACGGTGGTTATCTTCTTCATCAAATTGAACAAGAAATGAAAATAGTAGATGGTTCTCAAATGCTGTCGAATTTACATAATAATATGCCGTCGGATCCATTGACTATTGCAGGTTAATTTGTTTCCCATGAAATTGTATAGTTATTTATTTATTGATATTTTCTTTAGGTCAACTTGTTGATTGGCTACCCGAGTCTATGTCTATAGTTATGGATTGTAGGCTTCATTTTGTTGATTAAGATTATTTTTAAGAATTATTTAATTATAGATCCACATAGTCTTGAAGGTCGTAATTTGCCTGATTATCCATCATTTATTTTTGATTTGTTTGACATGGTTGTCGATACATTTGATATGCAACGAGAATATTTAACTTCATCAATGGGAGTTTTCAATTCAATTATTCAACTTATTGTCAATAAAGGTATGTAGACGAGAGGAAGCTACTGGCTTTGAAGTCTCACACGAAACGATAACCGGTCAAAAACATGTTCTTTTTTTATTGAAGATATGCATCTCCGAAAACATTTTACAGTCCTATAGAAAATTTCTTAAGAACTATCAATGACTAGAAGCAAATATGAAATTAATCGGTAGTAAACTTTTTTCGATTTCAGGTAATCCAGTATCATTGGAATCGTTATATGATTGTGATGATAGTCGACCCGTGTATTGTTTTTCAAGTGAAATATATGCAAGTCGACCATCAAATAATCCATATACAAGTTTAAAAAGTCGTTCATCTCATGCAAGACAAACACCACGTGTACATCGTGTTGATTCATATGAATACAAAAAAGTCTCATCACAGGATGATGAAAAAACATCTGGTCTAACAAATCTACGTCGAAAATCAATAAGTTCATGTGATCTTTTTCATGTAACATCAAAAACATTGACGTCACCGTTTGATGAAATACAGAATTGGCTTAATAGTAAACGTAAATTAATCTAAAGAAAAATCTTCGCCTATTATTGTTTTAAATTGAACTTGTTTATTTAGATGCATCAGCAAATAGTCAAGACAAGATTAGTAACGATGAAGTTGAACTTATCCAACTTGCACTGGTTCATCTTGCCTCATCGAACAGACAATTTCTATATGTTATCCTACATTTTCTAGCACAATGTATACGAAATAATCAATTCTGTTCAAATGATACAACAAAATTACGAGTAAGAGTATTTTTTTTTCAACTTGTAAAAATATAACTTTCTCTTTTTTTTTCTTCTAAAAAGATCTATCGTGCTTTTTTGAAATTAATTACTATTAATCAAGAGGAAAAAACTTGTTTGACGCATATTTTCGATTGCTTTATTGAACATCATGGAAAATTATTTGATATTTCAATGGATACAAGAAAAATTATTGCTAGACGATTAACAAAATCAAAAAAAGAGAATAAAGTAAGTTAGATAGATCTACAAACAGTTTCTACCGATTTGGCACACAAAGGGGAAGATGTACGGACCTTTTGAGGCCGTGTGCTGAAATAGGTCTAGGGCTTTGCACAGCTACAGCACAAGACCGCCATAACATTTTTCTGTTCTACACGACAATAGATTTCCGATGTAAAATTAAATGTAATTTCTTTTCCAGTATGCCGCATTACCATCATCAATGGCACCAAATAAAAAGTTTTCCGATGATCGTCCACTACGTCCATCATTTAAACAAGTAATGTTTTTCTTTAAGAAATGTTGTTTTTAGATAATTTTTCTTTATTCTAGCTTCGAATATCGCGACCATTGACATACAATGAACACCTCGATACTGATCCACATCCAATGGCATCAGCAACATTTGTCCGTAAACCAACTTTACCATCGCCAACAAAGAAATCTCAAGAAAGAATATCTTCACCAACAGCGATGAATTCGCCACGACGTCGTGCTAGAAGCTTTGAACCACGTGCACATACAACAACACTCTTTGATAAAACCATTAATCCGTTTCATAAATTACGTGTTATACTGAAACGAAACGAATAGTTACTATTAGAATATATTATTCTTTATTTTCTCGTGTATAGGCAATGTTGTAAATACAATAAAAACAATATCGTATCTATTTACAAAATGAAAAAAAAGCAATTTCTTATCATAATCCTTGCTTTACAAAAATATCGATTTGCGACCCAAACAAAGCTAATTCCCTCAATGTAATAACTACATAGGCATACAAGTCGTTATTGAAAATGCAATAGAACTCATAAATCGTGTGGGAAGACATTTAAAAAATGTAGCCAACTTGTGAACCATCGACATTTTTTTTGAGTTTATTCTATCGTTTATTTCAAGCATTACATCAGTATTAATTTTTAGATCTACTATCTACGACTCATGAACCGATTCTAATCATCAATCCTAAAGAATCTTGATACACGATTTGTTTATAGTAACTTTGTACCATATTCATGCATGATACAATATCCAACATGACAAGTTAGCTGATGAAGGATTTCATCATTTCAATAGGCAATATTCTGTTTTCTCATACAAATTATTTTAATATTGTTTGACACTTAAATAGTGAAGCTCCATAAATGGTTTTGAAGAATCTACTAGGATTCAAATTCAACCTTTCTACTGTTCTTATTTCATTTTTCTTTAGTACGAAGCCATAGCATTGGCGCTGAACATACTTCAATGGATGTATAGAGCTGAAAATTTTTGATCTTGATGTTATTTTAATGTCGAAAAATCCATAGAAAAAAAAACGCCTCAATGTTTATATGCCATCTATTCTATATATCTCAATTATTGAACCAATTGTAGATTCAATGCTTTCCAGAGTTTTAACTTAATCATCAAGAAGATTGTGTAAGAAGTCAGTGAGGGATAAGGCGGGTGTGGGAGTCTTATTCCGTTTAGTTGATATTTTGCATTTTTAATTCTACACTATCTACATGTATCATACTTGGTTCTTATAGATCGAAAGTATGAGAATTTCTCTGTCTTTAAATCTACAGAATTAACCATATATATTCGGGTTGTCCAAGTAACGCGCTACTTCGCTGATCAAGTTTTAAAGTTTTCAAAAATCGTATTTTCAATTTTCTAACCAAGAAATTTAAAACAAAAATGCCGAGTAATATACCGTTCGATGCAGAATTTGATTCTCTAGAAAGTGACCTATTCATTTTTTACTCTCATTCTTCAGGACAACTTCTAAGCTCTTGTACAGTTTCTAACTTACTACACAATTATTGAGCTCGTATGTCGATGTAGCAACTTGATTTTTTTTTACAGAAGGATATGAATGACAGTGATCAACATATAAACATTGAGTATTTTTAAGCATGTTAAGTGCTTCAAATTCGGGCGACAAAAAAAACGTGTCACAGCGTTATGTTTGGTTTTTGCATTTTCAATCTGAACGAAAATAGTTTAGAAAAAAGACTTTTTACTGCTTGAAAGCCCATTCAATTCTCTACAAAAACGATACCATAAGCATTTCATTTGAAGAAATGATTTGTCAAAATATTAGAGCTTTATAAACAGCCCTAGAAAAAAGGGTCCTTTTTGTCACAGTGTTACGCGATGATAAAAGCTTTCTAGAAGCGCGAGAGTTCAATCAAACTAGGTCACTCTTGCAACATAAATAGAGTATCCTAAGCTGCGTCGAATGACGTTTCAACGGCCTTATTAGCTCTTATGCCTTTCGAGATAATTACAAAACAATTTGTCGAAATGTCAGTATTACGTTTGGACAAGCCGTATTCCATTCATGAATTTTTACTTTTTATTTTTAAGTAAAATCGACAAAGTTACGTAGAACTGGCAAAAACCGCTTTATAAGCATTGGTTATGATATACAAAGAAGTATTAAAGAAATAAGAACATGTTTGTGAAGCACTTAGCATGAAATGAAAACGAACTTTTTTTTATAGTAAATAGAAGTATGGTGAATTTCATTATTCATTCAACCGACTAATATATTTAGTCTGTATCTGAATTTCACCAGTCAGAGTCAGATTGCGTATGTTTCATGGGAAAAACATAACGAAATTCTACAGAACGACTATTTCCTTTTTCTTTCAATAGCATAGACGTTCACATCTCCTCTTCTGAATTTTTTCTCGCACCTTTGAAGTCAATTTTCTAAAATAGGAGATTTACCGAGTCGCATTGAGCACAGTATTTGCATGAAATCATACACGTATACGACTGTTTGACTGCTATAATCTGTTGAAATTAAAATAGTTACAATAAAATCTTATTGAATAAAAAACTCGACCAATGAAAATAAACATGCAATATCATTGGCTGTTTTAATTTGATTGACATCACACAATTATTGTTTTGTTTTGTTTTCCTATTCTCATTCTCTTGGTTATTTCGTAGTGAATAATGGCTCGAACGACTCGACGATCACGTTTTGGTCTTCCGGACGTGTTTTTACAAGAGCCAAAACAACGTGAGGTACACTATATCACAAAAAAATATATCAGTTATTCAATTTTTAATAATAAATTTTTTTTTTCTTTATTAAGGATGAACTAACAGCTGAAACGGTGAAAAATGGCTTTACATTTAAACCTGTTGATGGACTTTTGGAAGTAATAGCTTTTTCTTTTAGCAATTCCTAACATTTCAATTTGTCTTTTTCCTTGTCTTTTAGCATGAAGGCTTTAAAGGCCAAGAATTTTTTAAGAACGCCGATGAAGGCATTCTGGAGTTTTTTCGAATTATTTTACTTAAAAAAGAAGAAAATCATACCATGAATGATAGCACCAAGCGGAAACCGCCGACAATAAATAAAGCACACTTTTGGCCATTAATGGTTTGAATAGAAATCATAAAACAATCCTATAGTTATGTCTTTCTGTTTTTTTTCAGGGTCCACGAACAGCGAAACCTTTTGAACAGTGGTTATCATTATTAGCATCGACAGAATCACTTGGAAAATTAGCTAAACAAGTATGATCATAATAAAGCAATGATTGTTTTTTCTTTTTTTCTAATATTAATATTGTGATTTCAATTAGGTACCAATTATTCTAAAAAAAGAAGATGTTTTTCAACATTTATATGAGCATAATGTTTCACTTGTACGTGCTTGTTGGTATATTAAGATGTTGGCATTGTATCATAGTGCAAATAATGATTCAAAACAGAAGAAACGACATGTAGCAACTGACCCATGCACTGAATGGACGAGAATTACTATTGAAATTTTAAAAGTAAGAATTTTTTTCGAAATCCATTTGGAATGAAAATAATATATCCCATACATACGAGCCTACAGACTCTTCATTTAACAGCATATATTTCAAGCTGATTTAGTTTTTTTATAATCTATTTTGTTTAGGAGGTTTTTGATCGTTTAATAAAAGAAAGTCTTCAAAGCCAACGTGCAACTCCTATTTCTGATATCTCAACAAATCATACACCTGATCTACCCAATGATCAACATGGAATTCCGTTAACTCCTGGTTCGATGAATTCTCAATATACTCCGTTGACGCCACAACTGCATCTTGCACTAACCTCAACAAATCTTCCAGCTGATAAGACACGCCGACAATGGGATTATTATAATCGTTTATTACGAATTCTATTCGATCAAGGTTTACTCGATCGTCAAACTATTGTCGAATGGATTGTTGATGCATTTATAGATCGCATAAAAAATAATGATGATATTAATCTTCGTTATTTAATACCAATTATATTTCAATTTAGCAGTGAGATATTAGAATATGAAATATTTTCGCGTAAGATCGCCTTTTATTGCTGCAAACGTCTTGGCCAATATCATACAGATATTAATCAACCCGTTAATTTCAATAATCTACTTGCCTGTCCACAACATCGTATTATTATTTATTCGTTATCAGCAATAATTCAATGTATAACATTACGTTGCCCAGCGGCATTACTTTATAATAATCCGATAGATGATCCACAAAAATCCGATACATTATTATTAAATTATGGTTCACCATTAGACTTTCTACCATGTTCACCATCTCAACTTCCAGTACCCGTTGGCATCGATCAGCAATTAGTAAAACAAATGCTAGTACAAGCTGAAAATGAAATACGTTCGCGTAGTCATGCTATTGAACATAAATGGTCAACGGAAAAATTACAACAAAGTATATCAGGTCAAACAATCTCACGTATACTTGCTGTACTTGAAATTCTTGATGAATTCAAAGAAGAAAAATATCTATTAGATAATGTTTATAATAAAATTTATTCAAATACATTTAAACTTGAACCAATAACAACAGATATTGAAATTGAAGTCATACATCTGATGTGCGATTGGGCTATAACAACACGTCGACATGGAGTTTATCGTTCGTTTTTCATAGCACGTCTACTTGAACGACGACAAAATGAATTGAAAACAATACGTTTACAAGAAATAAACGAAACGATCGATGATAAAGATTCGAATTCATCAGCAAATACTCAAATGAGCCCATTTCAAACAGCATTAATGGAATATCTATTAAAAAAAGCTCCATACATTGATGAAACCTCAATCAATGATGCTGATTTAGCGCAATCATTTTCATCATTAGTTATGCTTTTTTCTGAATTTGTACGCTTAAATCTATTTTCTCCAATGCAATTTATGTGTCATCTTGTTGCCAATGGTCTCGTACCGATACCTACTGATAATCACGAGAATAATAATACACACATGATAACAAATCATAGTAGCCAGTATAAACAACATGTATATAATCCAATGATTAGACATGATACATCATCAAATATGGATTCAAGTTTTGATCGACGTCAAGGAAACACATTGATTGATCTTGATCCGCTGGAAGCAATGAATTGTATAGAATTTTAATATGAATTTTTATTTTGAATTAAACTTCCGTCTTGTTTTTGTTTAGCATCTCCATCAACCACACCAAAAAATCATTTAAGACAAACATCAAAAATTGAATTACACAGAAATCCGCATCAATCAAACGAAGAGTTTCTGAATCAACAAAGAAGTAGAAAACGTTGCTTATTCTATATGGAACACTTTGCATATCCACTTGAAGAAGATTTCCGAGATGATTTCAATCAAAGAAAAATTATTCTATTTGGCATCACACCGAAACGGTATGATAAATCTATCTTCGATAGCACATGCCGAGTAGACCTTTTCTCATATAGCTCATCTTAGACGACTATTTCACTAAAGGAGAAAACTTTATTTTGTTTTTTTTCTTCTCATTTAGCGAAGAAGCAAAACGTCAATTAAAAACAAATGTACGGTTATTAAGTTCACTATTTAAATTACGTAATTGTCTTGAGACAACAACTGAAAGTCCTCCATTTACTCGTCCAATTCCGTATGCAAGTTATTTTCATATTCGCAAATCAATTTTATCCCTATCGTATCATGATCAATATTATGTAACGAATCGTGTTAGTAAATTGTTAATTGAACGTTTAACAAATTTTATTGAGCGTCGTACAAGTCGTTTACCGTGGCTTGACGATGTTGCTTTTCTATTTGAATTAATGGAAAAATCTTTAAATTTATTTGGTTTAATTCAAACATGTGTTGATATCCTACGTATATTTAGTCGTATCGAATCTATGGGCTCATTAAAAGCAAGTCCAGGGATGTATAGTTATCGTTTTGAACTCTATCTTGAAGTCACATCGATATTTCGTTTTTATACACCTGTTTTAATATTAACACCGAGTAATATGATACAAGTATTTGAATGGTAAGGTTGAATTTTTTGTGAACTTTGTCTTTCATTTTGTGAATCAAATTTAGTTTAATACAAATAACTCAACATATTCAAGATCCTGTGCGAACAACATCAGTCGAACGTGCATTACTTATGCTTATGCATGATTCATATTTTTCATGTCCTTATATAAAGGTTTGAAGAAGAAAAAACGAAATTTATTTAGTAAATTTAATTTATCTATTTTACAGAGTAAATATATGGATCGTATAACACAGACTATTACTTTAATAAAGAAGGAATTATATACTCAAAGTTCACAAAATAATAAACAAGATGCAGCAAGTACCAATTGTCAATGGGATCCACAAGCATTTTTTAGTATAATTGACGAGCCAAGGTATAGTAGAATATTGTTAAGAATTGATTACGATTTTGTATTTGAATTTTTAGAAAAGCATTAACTGAATTTCAAGTTGATCGTGAAAAAATCTATCATACAAAACAACTCGATGAAAGTCCACAAGCACGAGCCAGTTTCGTTATTAATACACTATTTGCGGTTTCAAAAGCAAAATCATTAACTTAGTAAGTTAAAATTTAGGAAAAAGTGTTGCTCAATGTAAATGCAGAAACAAATGTTTTGCATGTTCGAAAGAATCTAGTCAGAAATCCGAACATCAAAACAGATGACGTTCAGTTAAAATATCATCGTTACTACTTTTTAGAAGGTTAGTTCGATTCGAAACCAGCAAGGGTAGATCTAGAAAGAACTATAAGAAGGCCACCATATCTCCTCTGATGTGAAATATGTAAACACTACCGATATTTTGATTCTTGAATTCGATACATTTACTAGAGACATCTTAATCTTCCGAGAGGTGTTATTAACTTTGAATGGTTTCTTTTTCAGTATTCATGATATTGCACATTTGGCAACTGAATTAACATGTCAAGTCGCATCACTCGGTCAAATTTGGTTACTAGCGATAAAAACGTTAAGTTCTTCCGCTCCAACCAATCGTTCAACAAATACTCCCAATCATACAAATGTTTTCGATGAATTGCGTCGTATTGATGTAAGAGTTATTAGGCAAAAAAAAGCAAACAATTTGTATATATTTCCTTTTTAGCCACATAATTTATGTGTTCATGATAATTTATCAGTTTTTATATCTATTTTAATTGCTCGTCATGCTTTATCAATAAATGATTATATTATCGTTAGTGTTCAATCCATCATTGCATCAACACCAAAAGAACGTCTTGATCCATCAACCTCGCGTTCAAATCCTTCATTATCACGGCTACGTGGTTCCAGCGGTGAAGAAGCTAATGAGCCAGGCACAAGATTTACATGCGATGTTATTGAACATCTTTTTTGTGCTAATCATGTTCCATGGTCGATGATCATTGCATCACGTGAACGTCGTCTTTTAGCATCGAATTATCGTCTCGTTGCTTTCGGCGCATTTCTATGCGTATTAAAATCTTTACTAATTATAAGTCAATCGTGTTTTAAAGATTGCAAAGTCTATTATGATTTATGTCGTGAAATAACACAACGACATAAGGATAATGACCGTCATGAAAATGCTTTACGCGCGGATGGTAATAGTCAAGCAGAAAAAGAATTTCGTCCAAGTCGTGAACCGGTACCGGAAGAATTAGTTGATTTATCAATGCGCGTTTTGAAAATATGTTGTGATCAAGATTGGATACAAGAACGTTGCTTAAAAGAATCAGATACATTATGCAATCAGACAAATTTATGTGATAAATTATTGGACGATGGACAAGCACAACAATTACTTCGTTTTATTTGTTATAAATCTAAATCTGAATTAACTAAAGTATCGTTTGATAAAGGACCCAAACCAATAATATCATCACTATTACAAAATTTAAATCAATGGACGTTACGTGCAACGATATTAGAATTAAAGTTAATGATTAAAATTCTTGAATATAATGCTCCATCGACAAGACAACAAGATGCCAATTTCAATGTATCGTTAGCATTGAAAACACATGAACACAATACACATCATTTATTACAATCAATCGCAAGCGCAACAATTGAATTATTTCAACATCAAACCGAAGGTCGATATGGAAGTTCATCATCATTGAATCAAATGAATGAACATTATGATAGGAAAGGAATTTGGTTAATTGCACCATTAATATCACGTTTACCAGATAATGTACAAAGTAGAATTTTACACATAGCTGGTAAGACGCATAAGAAGGTTATTTTTATGTTTAGACGTATAGCCTATTCTATGTAGATCCATTCTTTGTAGAGGAAGCTTTTTTAGAATAATTTATTATGATGCATCATTTTTTGTCTTTTGCCAATAGGAAGTGTACTGGAAAATGGAAATTCAATGTTAAATTCTTCGAAAACTAAAAATGATAAAGAAAATCAAGTTTTACGAAGCATATCATTATTAAGTCATCAACCATTTTTATCACTTGTTCTTTCATGTTTAAAAGATCAAGATGATCAACGCACGGGTCTATTAGATTCATTACGCGGACAACTCGAACAATTATATAAACAAGTAAGTTGAGCACTGAGGAAGAATCTTGTGTACTAAAAAAGCCTATTAGGAATGTGAACATTGTTCACCACCTGGAAAAAGCCTTTCAAATATATCGTTAACAGTCAAGCCAACAGGTAGTAACAGTGGTACTGCTAGTGGAGGATCATATCCCGATTGTCGTTGCAATTGTCACAAAACAGATTGGCAAATCTATTCGAATAATCTGGTATTAATCTATAGATAAAATATCAATATAATCGCTTCTTTGTAACTTTCACATTGATTATTCGCTTCTATGCACGCATCTGCCCCTTCCTTGCTTCTAGTTGAGATCGTTATTTGGTAACTCGACTATAAATATATATATATATATACTGCATGATCTATATTTACGATGCTTTCTTGTTCTATTTTCGAGTTGAATGAAATTATATATTATTCATTATCTTCTAGGCACCTATTGTTCAAGATGATCCAAACATGAAAATAATTATATTTGAATCACTTCAACTTCGACTTAGTCTTATCGGTGGAATGTTTGATACAATTGTTGTAAGTCTTCTATTTAGTAAAATGTTGAAAATGAATTATGTTGTCTTGTTCTAGCGTAATAATAATTCTGCAACAGAATGGATATCTGTTTTTTCTCAATTGATTGCATCAGGTGTGATCGATACGAAAAATAATGCACCCCTATTGAATACAGTACTCGATATGCTTGGCGTTCTTGTGCATGGTATTGTTCCAGCTGAAGGACCTATTGAAGCAAGTAGAATTTATATGGGATTAGTGCGAAAAATTCGTAAAGATATCGGCGAAAGACGTTCGGAAGCATTAGACGAAGTGAAACGATTTTTACCATTACAAAAATTATCATTTGATATTTATGTTGTTGAACCATTTGATGGTGTCAATACGCGAATGTTAAATCCTGAAATGAAAAAGCATGGATTACAAGTTGCAAGAAAAGTACATTTTTGAATTTTTATAGATTTAAAATAAAAATGTATTTTATTTTTAGGAAAAAATTAATAGTTGGGAAATGATTGAAGGCTCAAAATCAGCCACATCAATTTGTTATTCTTGGTTTTGTGCAAAAAAAACAGAACGTAAACGTTTACGATACGAAGAACAATATCGTTTATTACTTCGTCATAAACATAATCTATTTGATAAAAGTCTTACTTACTTTCGGGTATAAGCTTTTTTTTTCTATTTTAAATTCGTACTTATTTTGTAACATTCGGTATGTTTTTAGGATCCACCTATTATTGAAGCTGAACCTCCAGAACATCCTGAATTGGAAATTGTTGGTGAAAATCGTCCACCAATGCACCAAAATCCAATATCAACAGGTCCAGGTTCATATGTTCCTATGTCACCTATGCTTAGTTCAATGCATTCACATCAAACAAGTATACCAATGCAACCACCAATGGTTGATATCACTGGTAAACAAACATCTAATCACATCACAGGACCACCTACTCGGGGACCAACCTCTGGTAGAGTGCGTGCATCTGGAACTGCTGCTGGTTCAACGACGAAACGTCAGCCACGCATGCCTCGTAGTGGATCAACACGAGCTGCTGCCATTCAAGCATCAACACCAACAGCACAACCTATGTATCAACCACAAACATCATCAGCACAGCATTCCATATATCCACAAACATCTTATAATCAATGGATACCAACATCAAATGCGCCTGTTCCTCAGCCACCACCACAACAACAAATGATGCCAACTTATCAAAATCCACAAGTTTTAAAACAACCATTTATGCCAACTGTTCGACCTTCTGGTGTTGTTCCAGGTCGTCCAAATGGACCATACCCAACTCAAACAATGCCACAACCGCAAACATCTCAACAACAACAACCACAAGGACAGCCATCACAAATGCCTGTTAGCTATATCAACGAGCAAGGATCGATGATGGTTTCATCGGCAGGTGCTAATTCAATGCCTCCAAATGTTAATCGACAACAACAGCAGCAGCAGCAACAACAACAACAAGTTGCAGCAGCTTCTGTTAAAAGAAAATTAAACGATACAACTATGTATATAAATGAACCAAATCAATATGTAACATCAACCAAAATGCCACCTCAACAAAATGGTAAAATTTCAAAAAATTAATTTTTTTACTTATATTTATTTACGTTTTCTATTTCAGTAGGTTCAATGTCACAATATCAACCAGCTCCAATGATAATGCAACAAGGTACTTATGTACAGCAAGCACCACTACAGCAAGCACAAGCACAGCAGACTCCTCATCCACAAATGTATCCACAAGGGCAAATACCTAGTGGTCCTTATATGAATAGTCAAATGCTCGGAAATCCAGCAAAGTAATTGATCGAATGATTGCTTGCTTCTTTTTCTGTTTACTTATTGAGAAATATATTTAGTATGATGCAACAGCAGGCACCTGTTTATTCAAATATGATGGGTGGTCAACAGCAAAATGTTTACAATGCAACAGCTGTCAATCCAAGTATTAATCGAACGCCAAGTCAAGCATCAATGTCAATATCAAATCAGCAATGGCCAAATAATCAAACAATGAATGTTGTTCGCCAACCACAAAATGCATATAATTCAGTAAAATAATTGTCAATTACTTATTTACTTTGATCTTCGCCTCCATTTTATTATAGATGATGGCACCTGACCCACAGCAACAACATTACGTTCAACAGCAACCACATTATCAATAAATTGAATACTGTCTAATAGATTATGTTTTCATATTGTTTACTTCTATTTTCTTTCGGCGCATATCTCATTACCTACAGTTTGCTATTGCTTGTGTTATCCGCTATGCGTCAATACGCTACAGCATCTATTGTGGTATTGACACTTTAATCTATATTTTTCTTGATTTGCTCATTGTTGCATCATAGAGAAAGTTTTTTTTAAATGTATATACAAAGCTTTATTTATTGTGTTTATCAATATAGAGAAAAAAACAAAACCAACAGGCAAACAATCGATTTCAAAAATAGGATGACTAATGAAAAAGCGTTAGAATTTAATTAAGTTTACTGCTAAAATTAAAGAACAATATCGATTTATGTTTTGCCTATTCATTTTATTAACACAGAAAAACACCACACAGCACGAAATTGCATTACTAAGATGCAGAATTATTTATTGAATTTATGTGAAAATGAATTTAAATAAATAACAACTCTCATGACGTATACAAACAACATCTAAATATGATTATATTTCAATTTCATCAAGTTCAGCACAATCATTGAAAATAACAAGCAATATGGACATCAATAAAAATATATAAACAATAACACTTTGTAACGTTAAACTATAAATGATTGTTGATTCTACCATATATATTGATATTATTGACAAAGGAATTAGAAAAATCAAACGTTTAATTCCTAAACAAAACAAAAGAAAATATTAAATGAAGAAAATGCTTTTTTTTCTTTTTCAAAAAACAAACCATTACAGAAATGCAAAACACAACCGGAGATAAGAAGAAAAATTGAAAATATTGTTTTCACTTTATTCAATGATGTTTGTCTTAGATATTCGATAGGAATATTGTCGTGAATTTGTTTGAAAAGTTCATCCTAAGTAAAGTTTATTTTGATTTGATTTTGAAAATAGAAAATAAATACCATAAATAAATGAAGAGAAGGATTTATATTTGATGATAAATTAATTAAAGCTAAACTTATCAATAAAGTTCCGATTAAAATAGACATTATTTGAGAAAACATTTTAAAAGAATTCTACGGTTCGTTGATCTTCATAGCTCGTTACCTCATCTTGTTTCTTTCTGACGAAAAAAAACTTACGCTCCATCGATTGAAAGGAAAGAAAGGTTATCGATGGTGAGTAAACTATACAAACGTGTAGTCAAAAGGCGTCTTCTCTCTTTTTCTTATTTGTTTAATTTTGTTTTGTTTCAAAAATTAAAATGGTAAAAAACATTCTCATTATCAATGGCTAGAACCTCGTTTAGTTAGCAGAATTGGAATCAGAACCAGATGTTTTTTTTTATACAGCTAATTCAAAATGATGCCAAGAAAAACAAATGACATTAAACAATTTAACTAAATCAATATAGGAAATATTTGAAATATGATTAGCTATAGCAAAATGAGGATAAAATTTCGGTTGAATCATACATAGAAATCAACATTTTGTATTGTTCTTTATCAAATGAGAATTCCAATTTGTTTTGTTTTATTCATTAAAACAACAAAAACGAACTATAATATGACATATCAACAGGTATATGCATGCACGTTAGTCATCAATATGCAAATTTTATAGCGATTATAATGATGCACTAATAAAACACAGCTATGATTCACTTCCCAGACATAAATTACATGTAAATCAAGAAGTCACTTCGTGTACTATTTCTTTATAATATGTTTTCGTGCGTTGGGATATTGCCAACGCCTTGTATTATATTAGTTGATGGACTATTGTGTCTGCTTTGAGTATAATTTTTTCATTTGTTCTAAACAAACGTCATTTTCCTATGACCAATAGAAGTTGTAAATAATTTTTTTCTGTTAGTGTAAAGAGTGAATTTACTTTAATTCTATTCAATACAAATAACATAGCCACTTGGAACAATCAACGTTTATAGGTTCTCATATAGGCATTATTAATTTTAAACAAAAATCATTCATTTTCCGTACAGCCAGTAGCAATAAATGTTTCAGTATCTATAAATAATCGAGCAATAGACGAAGTGTAGTACAATAAAAGGCAGAATGCTTTGGTTCCAGAACAAAATTCAAAATCACATAATGAGACTTTATTTTAATAAACAGCAAATTCCTGCTGTTAGAAGTTACAATTAACTGCTTGTGATTTGAATAATTATGAGCTAAACGCTTACCGAATTTATTTTCATCAATGAGATATTCAATGACATTATGAAAATCTAATTTCCATCTGCAAAATTTATTTTCGACATAAACTATTGATATTTCAGTTTCATTTTCTGCATCTTTTAATTTAGCAACATTCAAACTAATTCGTTCAACAATTTTTAATAATTCTACGAAATAAAAATTGACTGAACAGAACGAATAAGTCTTTATTTGAAACCTTTGTGTCCTTCATCAATGGGAAATTGTTTAAAGATTCATTTCCGATGGCGCGTTGCAGCTAGTTTGAGAATAGTTCATGAGCAACCGAAGGAAGTGTTTTCCTCTTTAAAAGTCAGATAAAACGAGCACTTTTAAATGGTTTCTAATGAATTCTCTACAATAACTATTGTATGGTGCTTTCATAGTCTGAACACCAGGTGGTTTTCGCCTGAAGTTTTTGAACATCCATCACACCCACTACCAATTATATTGCATAAATACTATGTATGACTGAAGAATGTTGTTTCGAAAACAAATTATCGGTGATGGTGTAAATCGTACTAAACAGTGCGTCAAATTGTATCATTAACTTTAATATATACGTAGATATTCGTTTTTCGAATAGATCAACTCTCGTATACTTACCATACGGAGCCAACAATCATTAATCAGAAAATAGACAGCATGTGAAAATATGTATCGATAACTCAAACAAAGTGAGATGCTAGTGCTGAAGGCGTTAATTCTAAAGGAATACGTGATGTGATATTTAGGAATACAGAAGAAGAAGAAAGAATAACAGGAAAACGGCACAAAAACATACTATATGAAGTTGAATCATTTTATAATAATAGTTCCACTATTTTTCGCACACGAGTCTGTATCACAAACGTATCCACAATATTCTCAAGTGTTTCCACAGAAATCTCATTTTAATAAGCACAACCTGCGATCAGCAGACAAAAGAGAACAGATAAATATCAAGTCAAAATCTTTATACATCTTCCGTAGAAGATTCTTCATTAATGGTCAATAAGAAAAATAAAGTATGTGAAAATATATGTTCTCACAAGGAGTCAGTGAGTCCGTTTGTAATGATTTCTTTAAAATTTAAAATAAGCAATATAACCCATGTAACAAAATTTAGGGTAGAAATCATCAGATTAAAATCGATTGAAAATCGATTGGGAATCGATTATAATCAAAAATAATCCAAAAAAACAAGATTTTCATCGATTATTCCCATTATTTTCGATTATAATCGATTAAAAATTCATGAAAGAAATTGATTGTAATCGATGCAAAGCGAGGAAAATTCCTTAAAAATTTTGCCATCTTTCATGTACAAAAATCGATTATAATCAATTTCTTTCATGAATTTTTAATCGATTATAATCGAAAATAATGGGAATAATCGATGAAAATCTTGTTTTTTCGGATTATTTTTGATTATAATCGATTCCCAATCGATTCCCAATCGATTAAAAATCGATTAAAGGTGTATGATTATAATCGATTTTCAATCATTTTCCAATCGATTTTAATTTGACTTCTACCCTAAATTTTGTTACATGGGAACCTTCCAACTAGATCAGTAAATTAATTTAGAAATAAATACAAGAGTCGTAGACTACGAATGTGTAGAAAAACTAGCCCAAAATTGGTCCACATCAACGGTGTGAAAAGCAGAGATAAGGAGACATAAGTAACGGATACTAATATTTAAACTACTTTTTACATGAGCTATTGTCGATGTATCGTAGTTGCAATGAAACGTTGCTTATATGATTGCAAAAACCCAGACATACGTATGTGCATACTATGCAAAAATAAACGATAGTTTTTATTGTCTGTAACTGAAATGAGGTTTTACCCACAAGTTAAACAGTCATTACCTATATTGAATGTAAATAATATGCGATGCATCCTGTATAACATGAGAGCAGAGCAAGTATGAAGAGATCAATCAAGTATAATCAAACATCATTCGTATTTTGCTACTACTTGCTGTACTTAGTTGAATTAATTTTACTATATTCCGGCCTTAAGATCACTGTTCATGAATTTGTCACTCACGATGTTCGAATACTACCGAGAATCGAAATATGGAGACTGTAGATTGATATTGGTATACTGCACTCTAAAAAATATACTGAAATGCATCAGTCAAAACGAGTATTTTTTTTTCATCAATACATATCGATCGGCAATTAATAAAATAAGTAAACTGAAAAATAAGTTGTCACTCTCTTATTTTTTTATGGCCATAAATATTTTTTCTTCGTGTAAAATAATATCCGATCCGGTGCATCTCGGCAAAACTTTCTATTAATATATCAAATCTGACTTTTTTTTTGTAAAATACCTACGGCATTGCAGTTTATTATAATGCGTTAAACGTACAAAATGAAATGATTTATTTCTTCTTATTCGATAAATTCTTTATGAAAAATACGATGGAATAGGTCATTGAAATTGAAATCACATGCATTTCTCATAGCATATACATTTTGCGGCTCTTCTCATGAACTGATTTTTAAACTTCTATCAATCTTGTAAATATTTTGGTGCATACCTATTCAATATATATTTTGAACTATTACAATTCTTCTTTTAAACTGTTATTGCTGGGATTTCGTTGAGCATTGGAAGTTCTTCCAGTCAACAAGCACCATCAGTTCTTTTCAAATTCAAATCACACACTCAGAAAAAAAGTAGCTAGAAAAATTACATTCGTAAAAAGAGTTTTTTCACATGCTTCGATTTTGGTAACCTCTAGAGTTGTTAATGACTAAATGACTTAGTTGTTTAAGAAATTAAATAACTTTATGCACCCGGAACTACCAGTTTCTCTAGGGATTTTAATACTCAAATTAGATATTTCTAATCAAAAAAAAAAAATTATGCCTTATTTTTATACAAAAATAAGCACTTCGATCAAAGAATGCATCGTACAGGAAGAAACAATCCTACAGAGACATTATCAAATAGACAACATAAAACCGATGCCAAAGTGTAGGAAATATGACTGGCAATTTGCAACGATCAGTTCTATCAGGAGTTAGAACTTAGTGGCGAGTTAAAATCACACAGTTTAAAACATGCGCAATAACAGTATTTCATTCTCATTCCTTCTTCCTTTCTGCTCTTGTACACATGACTGCTTTTTTATTTTTATTTTTTAATAACGTAGGAATTTTCCCACTTTCGTTAGATTTCTTCCGAATTTGTTCTCATATATAAATTTGCTCTACATGCAAAAGCTAAATAAAGTATTTACTCTACAACTAAAGAAAAAATTGGATGAAGACTAAATTTCACGAGCTCGATTGATTTTAGTTATTTCCCACCATCGTCATAATCAACCAATCAAATCACACTACGAAAAAGAAAAACCAAGTTGTCTATTAATTAGTTAGACTGAGTCATTTGCATCGAACAATATATATATATAATTACAGCCGACTGTTACTTTCTAGTGAAAAATATTCGTTGATACCAAGCAAATTATTGTGCAACAAAATCCAATCCGCAATAGGATTGATAATTTTGATCATAGTCGATTACCATTTAACCCAAACGTGATGTTGTTGCTAGCCCGGCGGAAATTAGTTTGATTAAAATCTGATTGTTCTGTAGCACAATTCGAATTATCAATAGATTGGCAATGTGGATTTTACCGGAAAACAATCCGATTTCAATCAAACTGATTTCCACCGGGCTAGCAATAGCATTAATTTTGGGTTGAATGGTGTTCGATTAAAATCAAAATTATCAATCGGACTGTGGCTTGGATTTTGTTGCGCAATAATTTGATTGAAATCAGTGAATATTTTGGGTGTGGGTTGTCGCAAGAAGGTCATATTTAGAGG